CAATAGGTAAGTATTGAGCCACCATGCTGCTAGGGTTGCCAAAAAACAAGGATGGTTACTTTAACATAAGCCATCTTTGAGACAGAAACAGTTAAAGTAACAACTCCAAGGGACTGACAGAGTTATAGATACAACTCCATAGGACTGAAAGAGATAGATACAACTTCATAGGACTGAAAGAGTTATAGATACAACTCAATGGGACTGAAAGAGTTATAGATACAACTCCATAGGACTGAAAGAGTTATAGATACAACTCCAAGGGACTGACAGAGTTATAGATACAACTCCATAGGACTGAAAGAGTTATAGATACAACTCCATAGGACTGAAAGAGTTATAGATACAACTCCATAAGACTGAAAGAGTTATAGATACAACTCCATAGGACTGAAAGAGTTATAGATACAACTCAATGGGACTGAAAGAGTTATAGATACAACTCAATGGGACTGAAAGAGTTATAGATACAACTCCATGGGACTGAAAGAGTTATAGATACAACTCCATGGGACTGAAAGAGTTATAGATACAACTCCATGGGACTGAAAGAGTTATAGTTACAACTCAATGGGACTGAAAGAGTTATAGATACAACTCCATGGGAGTGAAAGAGTTATAGATACAACTCCATGGGACTGAAAGAGTTATAGATACAACTCCATGGGACTGAAAGAGTTATAGATACAACTCAATGGGACTGAAAGAGTTATAGATACAACTCAATGGGACTGAAAGAGTTATAGATATAACCTTCATTTATAAATACCCACTAAATATGGTGAAAATAATATTTCTTTTTGGGATTTTTCTGCACAATATTAAGGAGAATAAAAGCAGACACAAGAAAAGGAACTAAAAGCAAAATGAAAGAACAAAGAGTTTCATAACTTAAGAAATGTTCTTTTTATTATTAAAAGTCAGCAGCAATGAATTTATGACATCTTCTTCTTCTTCTGTGTTTACCGGCTGTAAGCTCCGGCGGAAAGTCCTGGTTGTTCATCTATCTGGACTTTAGCTTTGTACCAGAGCCTGAGTTTTGTGTGTACATCCGTTTTACTGACTTATTTATGTACAGCAGGTTGTTCCTTGCCACTAGGGCAGATGCACTCCGACTTCGAAGGAAGTTCCCAGTTAGTCAACTCCTACAACATGAAGGTTGGGGAGGCAGTGGGTTTATTCTTGTTTTCCCCACTATAGGGCCCCGGAACCCACACAGGGAAATTTATTATTTAATAAACATTTAAAAAATAAATAACCTGACAGCACAAACAAGAAATAAAAAGATGGCGTACTGATATGTTCATTTGAATGAGGTGGCAGTGACTTGAGCCTGATCAAAAATACATTTGTTTGAACTCCAATTATTTGCATAATTTACTTCTTGTGGGTTCAGGGGCCCCAGTTTGGGGGAAAAAAAGAATAAACCCAATAAGGAAGTCATAACAGGCGAGTAATCAGGTGCGTTTGAGGTCGCAGTGCACCTGCCTGAGAGGTGAGCAGCACAAGTCTGCCTACAAACAAGTCAGATCTGTGAAACAGATGTGCAGGCAAAATTCAAGTTCTCAAACAAGACAAAAGTCCAGAATGGATGAACAACCAGAACTTTCAGGAGTTTACATCCAGTGAACACAAAGAAGAAGAATTTCTACCTCTGACTCTCCTCCTCATACACTAACAATATTCACATATTTAGAATGTAGCCAGTATAGTTTACCCTTTATTTTTTCCAACTGCGGAAAGATTTTTAACTTGCACAACACGCTGACACAGTGCCCGTTTTTTTGTGTGTGGGTCCTTATGCTGCGCATTCAATCCACTAGCCAGGAATCAGCAAAGAGAGTGTGTGTCATCAGTGGGGTTTTTGTATCATCTGGATGTGATCTTGGTATTTTTTAATTCAGAGATAGATGAAATACCCCCAGTTCCATTACCACTACACACTAGTGCTAAATGCTAGCAACAAGTTACATTCCTGAGACAGGAATAGCATAATCTGCCACACAAGAACCTCACTGCCAAATGCACAGTAATATACAACATTAGTGTATACTGCAGTGTAAGAAATATGAACAGATAATACTGCAATATATATATATATTTATACATGAATGTATGTATGGATGTAAGTTAAGGTCTCTTTTCCATGCCCATAGGGCATATAGGGCTAGACCTATATTCTTAAAGACTAATCAGCACAAGGTGGGTGATGGGTTCAGCATCACGCCGGCCACCTTTACTTCCCGGGACTGCACCCGGTACCTACTCAAGGCTGGGTCAACCTGGGAGTCAAAGTCATTTTTTTTTAAAGTCCGGCCCCGCCAGGTAGCAAACCTTTCGACCCGCATGCGAGCGCCTAGCTGCTATACCACAGTGAGTATGTATGTATGTATGTATGTATGTATGTATGTATGTATGTATGTATGTATGTATGTATGTATGTATGTATGTATGTATGTATGTATGTATGTATGTATGTATGTATGTATGTATGTATGTATTGCAGTATCATCTGTTCATATTTATTACACTACAGTACACTAATGTTGTATATTAGTGCATGCATACATGCATGTATGTATGTATGTAGGTATGTATGTATGTATGTATGTATGTATTTACGAGCCATATTATGAATTATGACAATGGAAAATAAGATAGATAGCTCTAGAAAGCTGTTATGACAAAATGTCAATATGGATGACAAAATGTCAATATGGATGACAAAATGTCAATATGCTGGAACCACCATTGTAAAGTTCTTATTTGAAAATGTTAAGCCACTAATAAAAGCTGTAAATATAATAGCAGGATTATATAACAAGCATGACATCAAACAGTAAAAGTATAATATTACATATAAATATGAAGAGCACAAAATAAATATTACTGCTCGAGAACAAACAAATATCTGACATAACAACAGGCATTCTATATCGCAATTATAACTCAGAGATTTTGAACAGGACATCTTCTTGTGTATGTCCAATATCTTCTGTATTAGACATAACTGTGCTGTGATATCTGTGTTTTTCAGTCGACACATCTATTTTATTCAGCCTTCTTTGGTTAAATAGAATATTCAATGTTTTTTTTTTTAACTTAAAATTACAGCCACGCTAGATTAGAATGTGAGTTACTGTAAAATAAACCCGTGTGATTTGATCTTATGTTTCTCAACAGTATTACACTACACACAAACTGCAATACACAACCACAGTTGGGAAGAATGTTAATAAAGAAACAAATACAGTGAAGATCTGATAAGAAGAACTCACTGAGGACCAAAAAAGTAGTTATTCTTATCAGAAATTGCTCTTATCCAGATCAGAGTTCAAGCAAGACATAACAAGATAACAAACTGTTATTCATAACAGATATTTACTGCATCCAAGATCATCCTAAGCAGTATGCCATGCTTATACATACATCTATACCATCAGCATGAGTGAATATTTTGAATGTATCACAAAAATACAAATTAATTAAAAGCACCAGAATACACAAATACACATTAACTGTATGATTAAATATACAAGGAATGCTACAGATATCTTGAGGAAGTACAAACACTAAATAATATACAGCATCAGATTTACTCGTAACTAGTGTCTCAACAAGGATACACAGTGTCACACATACATCACATCCGCTACCTGACACCGTCCATCTCAGAAGACACGAAGTAAACAAACCTCATAAAATTAGCAAAAGGTAATTTTTCTATGAAGAAAAAGGGTGGGGGGGAAGAGAAAGTGAAATGGTCACGCCACTAAATTCTTGCAAGTTCGAGATATTCAACAATGTCAACTACTTTAATATCATCATCATGTGCTGTGCCGGTAAAGGCAGGCTGTCATGTTTCACCATATCACACGATGTCCAGAATCCCAGATCAGTTCAATGTTTTTGTCTTGCCCCAGCCACTTGGCCAGACCATCCCAGTATTTATCTCTGTGTCTTTCTCTAGCTCTCTTTCCATCAGTCTTGCCAGGTGTTACCAAGTTCTTGAGTCCATTTCTTCTCATAATATGTCCACAAAATATTGACTGTCTCCCTCTAAAAAATTTGAGTAACATTTACTTTTAAAGAAACAAAACTTTCTTGATAAAACTTGACTTTATAGTTATTCTATATATTAAGTAGGTCTACACAGCACACCCATCTTGCAATAAGAAAGTTTTATTCAAAAATGTTTAAGGTATCTCACTGACAGTGTTAATTTAGCAATATTAATCAACCAATTAGGTGCCATCACTGCAGTAAAGGTTGGTGGCAATGTATCTCAAAAATGCTCTGATGTTCATCCTGGATGTCCACTCTCTTAGACAGCTGTTTGTCAATCTTTTGATGTGATCCACCCACTTGTACTGCTTTCTGCCTCTTGCCCGCAACTTTTCTATCCAGTATGGTATTTTATTAGTAAGGTTTTTTTTTATTAGAGTGCTGTGGCCTAATATGGCAGAAATGTATCATGTGTCTCTTTGTAATTTCCTTCATCAACTTTCCTCTCATTCCTAGTTCGCTAACTCTTTCAATCCCAGGGGATTTGGCATCAGAGTCCCAACTGGTAGTCAAGAGATACATAAAATCGGCACATCTTGCATTTAATCAGCCATTAGGTAGGAACATATGATGTGTTCCTTAGGACTGAAAGAGTTGAGAACCTCTGTATTTGATTGTGTTTCAAAAAATAAAATAAGTCCATAGAGAACCTCCAAACGTCAAGACAGTAGAGAAGAATGCTTAGTAAGCGTCTTTTTCAGGCACAAATAATGAATTGTATATAAAAACAATAAATCCAATTATGCAATAAATGTATCAGATACATCACACAGTCAAACAACCACTAACACACATTCCACTCATGCCACATACAAACAAGTTTAGCAGCCGCCTCCAACTTCTAAAACTATTTCTTTTTGGTGCACACTATTTTCTAGGCAAGGAAGCACCTAGACAGTTATAAAAATGTTTATGTATGTCCTAGGAAAGGCATGTTATTTTCCTCCTCTGTATGTTGGGTTCTGGAATGTAGTTTTTGGATCCTTGTAGATTGGGTTTGCCCCCTGTTAACAGAAACAAATATTAAGATCATTGTTACCTTGAGTCTACTGTTACTTTGAATAAACATAATCACATTTAATTCTTTTAGTACCAACCAACTCACCGTATGTTTCTTGATCATTTCAAAGATAATATTATATCCTTGCTGTCTTCTATCACCAACATTTTGTATCATAACATTTTGTATCGGGATTTTTAGCTGAACTACTTCTGCCCTAACATGTCTGTGCTTACTACTTCAGGCTTCTACTTTGAATAGAAGAAGTTAAAGTAATTACTGCTTGGGACTGAGAAAGTTAAGTGTGTACAAGAATTCTGGCCTATTCAGTCACAATCCAATTACAAAATACTAGCTGCTTAGTAAACACACCAGTGGAATATTTCTAGAAAGATAATATTACTAAATATTAGCTGTTCAGTCAACACAACTGTGGAATATTTATAGAAAGATAATATTACTAAATATTAGCTTTTCAGTCGATCGAAACAAATGTGAAATATATATTCTAGAGTAATAATACTGGGCAGAGAGCAAGGAATGTGGGCTGCATCAGCTGGGGATTTAGTTCAGTCTTTTCTTATCTTTGCTGTTGCTGCAGTTCTTGCCATCTCATGTGCTGTCTTCCCAGACTAAGAGACAAGTGTCAGGATGAACAGCTTTATACAGTGATTCTCAAGTGTTATTCCCGAGCTCATTAAAGCTTAGTGAAAAACAAGAAAAGAAGATTTAACTTTGATCAAATTCTTTGCGTTTGATGTAATTTTGTTGTTGCTGCTTTTTTAAGGAGCAACTTTCCTTTACTGAAGTCGATCCTCTTTCACCGTGGAGTGTGGAGGTTTGCCAGACTTCTCTGTCAGCGGTTTTCTTTTTGGCTTTTTAGTCCTCTTACAAATCCACATAACTTAACTGAGGGTTTGTTTGAACTTTGGTCTCCCGCATGAGAGTAGAATGTTCTATCCCCTCAGCAAGCCACTTCCAAAAAAGGACTTAAAACTTACTTAGTCGCTCCTCTTCTATCTTGGGGTGTAGAGGTTTGCCAGACTTCTCTATCAGCAGTTTTCCCAAAGGAGCCAATAAAATCAAATACAAATCAAAGCAAGGGAGCTGAGTTATACAGAAACCCACATGGAGAAAGAAAAATGGGAATGTAGCAGCCTAAGAATACTGAGAGAAAAGAGCATTTAAAACAAATGAAATAGGTCAGACTGACTAAGAACACTGAGAGAAAATAGCATTTAAAACAAATGAAATAGGTTAGACTGACTAAGAATACTGAGAGAAAAGAGCATTTAAAACAAATGAAATAGGTTAGACTGACTAAGAACACTGAGAGAAAATAGCATTTAAAACAAATGAAATAGGTTAGACTGACTAAGAATACTGAGAGAATAGAGCATTTAAAACAAATGAAATAGGTTAGACTGACTAAGAACACTGAGAGAAAATAGCATTTAAAACAAATGAAATAGGTTAGACTGACTAAGAATACTGAGAGAATAGAGCATTTAAAACAAATGAAATAGGTTAGACTGACTAAGAATACTGAGAGAATAGAGCATTTAAAACAAATGAAATAGGTCAGACTGACTAAGAACACTGAGAGAAAATAGCATTTAAAACAAATGAAATAGGTCAGACTGACTAAGAATACTGAGAGAAAAGAGCATTTAAAACAAATAAAATAGGTTAGGCTGAATAAAATACAATAGTCCAGCAAAAAACGAGCAGTTTAAAATTAGTCAGATGAATGACAAAAACTTACAGAGTCCCACTTAGCTCTGTCTCTTTCCTTCATAAAATCTGCATACTCTTTAGCATCTCGCCGATTACGAATAAAAATAATAAGACAGATGATGAGTAGAGGAATTAGCACCACAGCAGCCACAGTTCCACCAACTATTGCAGCAACAGGAGCTTCCTTCGGACACTCTGCAAAACATATAAATGGTGAGAAGTGAGTTGTTTCCCTCATCAATTACAAACAACCACTTACTGGTGAATTGATGCATGACAAGCTAGATGTTCATGTGGCTTTAAACGCAAAACTACACCCACGCATGTGTACTCAGTGATTCAATGAGTATGATCCGGAGGGTTCAGGCAGGTTCGGCGTGAAAGGCAATGGCTTGAATCATAACGGAAGTCCACTGTCCCTTTATTTTCGTATGCCAAGCCCATGAATGAAGATCTTAGTAAGATCAACGAATTACTCTTTGCAGATGACCAGGCCTTGATAGCAGATACAGCCATGAAATTGCAACAACATCTAACATCCATGAATGAAGAATGTAAAACAAATAATATGAGAATCAACACTGAAAAGACAGAAGTAATGTCAATAGGAAAAAAGAAGACAGATCTAAACATAGCAATAGAATACAAAGGCATTAAACAGGCATCTGAGTTTAAATATCTGGGAACTACATTTACCAAAGATGGGAAATTGGATAAAGAAATTAACATTAGATGCAGTAAAGCAAACCAAGTATTGGGACAGCTAGCCCCCCTCTTACAGCATAAGACAATCTCAATCAGCACAAAGAGACATCTTATTCAAAGCATATTTATTCCAACTCTGTGCTACCAGTGCCAGACATGGTCACTCACAACAAACCATAAAAGAAAATTAGTAACTACAGAAATGAGATGTCTGAGAAGGGCTGTAGGAGTGACCATAAGAGATCAGATCAGGAATGAGATCATAAGAGAACAAGTCGGCACAGAACCAATTCTGGATTACATACAAAGACAGCAAGTGAAATGGTTTGCCCACTTGAGAGAATGCCTTGTGACACATTAACATACAAAGCATACATGGAAAAAGAAGAAGGACGTAGAGCACGGGGTAGACCAAGAACAAGATGGAAGGATAACATTAGAGAAACTCTACAACAGCACAATGTGCCTATGGTCGAGGCAGCCAGAAGAGCTAGAAACAGAACCTTATATCTCCCTCGACACCCACAGCGGTAAAAGAGGAAGTGAAGAAGAAAAAGAAGAAGTATTAGCGGGCATCAATGGAAATGAAAGAGCTGATATGTTGGCTGGATCGGCTATTACTACCGACGGTCAACCTATGGATTATGCTGATATTATTAATGCCCTCCAAGAAATGGAAAGGGTGGAGGACTTTGGGGGCAGTGAATCTGCATCACTTGCCAGAATAATAGACTTGGGAGTTAAGATCGGCATAGCAAAAAACAAGACACACACCAGGCACATCAAAGGACTTGTGAATCAACACAGAACTGGTACTTTTAGCCACCGGATGCTGGGGTTTATACTGACAGGAGGATCTGAGCACTTGTGGACATGTCCGGAGTGCAATGACGATAACCCAACTAACTTAACTAAGTTAGATGTTGTAAGGGTACTCTAGAAGTGAGTGAACAATGTGAAGACACAAACAGAACATTACAGTCAAACATGATATACATGAATAATAGCTAGTTCATCAAATACTGTTCACATGAAGAACACCTAATCAAACATGGCCTACAAACTACAGCAGTTCTGGGACAGAAACAAAAATGAAAGTTACAAACAACTTGCCTTTGGTTTTCTGTGCTTTGATTAGGACCGCATTGTCTTTGGTGTACTCATATGTGAAGAAAAATGTGCATCCATCAACATCAATCCCATCACAGTGCCTGATGCCTTTCCCAGCTGAAGATAAACAGAAAGAAAACTTTTTTCTACTCAATAATTCTTTTTGGCTGTATCAATGCTAACTGTCTATATGTATTCATTATATTCATTTAATATTTGTATTCAATGCAGGATAATAGCAATGAAGAAGCTTGAGGCAGTGCAGATGTACTTTTTGAGAAGAATGTAATGGACACAGGTGGAAACAAACATGGAGGTAACGAATACTGCCTGTCTTACAATATCACTCATCAACAACAACAAAAGAAAAAAGATAAATGATAAAGGATATTTCAACAGATGAAGTGGAATGGAGAAATAGCATTATGTATAATGTAAATATGTAAATATAAAATACCAGGCAAGAGAGGCAGAAGACACAGAAATATTTATGTAAACAGCTGGACAAATAATAACAAAGGGTCACTGAAAATGTTAACAGTTGAAAATTCTCGCAATCCTTTTCAACACCAACTTTGTCAAAATATCTGATAACAGACAGTGTTTGAGAGCCATGATTGCCTATGTCTATTTCAGACAAGGCACTCAAAGACAAAGTACAGTTTGTATATTTTGGTAGTATAACAATAAAGCCTTGTTAACATAAATTAAATGGGGCCGAAAAATGTACGCTAACCAAGAACTAATAATACATTCTTCTTCTTCTTTAAGTTCACCGGCTGCAATCTCTGGTGGAAAGTTCTAGTAGTTCGTCCACTTCTAGCCCTATTCCAGAAACTGAGTGTTGTGTACACATCCATTTCACAGGTCTGACTCATTTGCATGCAGACTGTTAGTTCCCTGCCTCTGAGGCAGATGTACTCTGACTTTGAAGAAAGCTCTTAATTAGTCGACTCTTATGACATGCTTTTTTGGGGGCAGGCAGTGGGTCCATTTTTGTTTTCTCCACAAAGAAGCCCAGGGAAATTATACATTAAAATAATGATGCTGCTGGGACCGACATTTTGTTCATGTTAACCAAGCGTTATTCTTAAGTTTGAATTAACAAGGTTTTGCTGCATGTATTTAATATGTCTAGAGAGATTTAAAAAAAGGTCCGTCACTTTGCATACTTAAAGTGTCTTGAATTTTTCATTGGTTCTCTCAAAATTAGACAGCTTTTCTATTAAGTTCTAATCCTGACCTGTTGTCCCATTAGCACTGTTCATTTCTGTCATTCTTTGCCAGGGGAGATTGTTCAGATCACATGAATACCTTGTAAAGATTTGGTCAAACACTGATCTTGCGTAAAATGTATGTTCTGTCTTAGAAGTACATATAGCTCTGAACTTTTTAAAATTTATTAATCAAGGCTGATTATAGTTTCAGAATTTGTTTATCACAACTGTTTACTACTAAGTCTTAACAACATTATAAACATCTTAAGTTTATGTACCTGACATATCTGAGTTTCTTATATTTATTCATCAGTCATTTGCGATTTTAACAATGTCATGATGTTCTCATATTCCAGAGCTATTAATGATAACTTACATAGTAAAGTAAAAGTAAAGATCCCTTTTCACACCTTTAGGCGCATTGAGAATATGGGAAGAGCACCCATATTTTTTACAGACCAATTGGCACTAGGTGGGTAATGTGGTCAGCATAACACCGCCTGTCTTTACTTCCCCAGGACAAACATCCTGGTACCCATTTTAGGCTGGGTCGACCTGCGATGCCCCATACCATGATAAAAATCCACGCAGCCAGCAGTGGTTTTGCTAACTTACATACTCATCAGTAAATGATTATTCTAACAATTTAATGATATTCTCAAATTAAAAACATCACAAGTGTAAACGGGCATGCTTATCAGTCACTGGTAATTCTAAACAAAGTCATGCTGTTCTCACATTCAAGAACTATCAATGTAAACAAACATTCATGCTCATCAATCACTGGTAATTCTCATAATCTGATATTGCTTTTATTTCCAAGCAAATATAGGTCTTTATATGTGTACTCATACGTCACTGGAGACTAACAATCTGAAAACGCTCTTATATCCAAGCAATTATAAGTATTTATTTATGTACTCATACGTCACTGGAGACTAACAATGTGATAATGCTCTCATATCCAAGCAAATATGTCTTTATATACATACTCATAAGTCACTGGAGACTAACAATGTGATAACATTTTCAGATTCAAGCAGCATTATTTAGTACTCACAATCCAGCGTGTCAACAACCTCTATAGTCAACTTCTGGCAGTCTGTCTCACACTCTTCCTTGTTGTATTTGCCAGTGCCATGAGCTTTACACTGAGCACAATCAATGTACTCACTGCACTGAGGGGCACATGTCTGTGAAGGAAAAATTTACATTGCTGGCTGATAGATGATGGTTGTAAATTGCTTGTTTTGCAACCATGGTTATGTTAGGTGAAAAATTAGCAACAGTAAGCAATTTTTGTAAGCATAGGACCCTTTAATCCTATCACTCCGAGAAGGCTAAATTAAGTCACTTCTGGTTGTTGCACAGATCCGTAAATGCTGATATATCGCTATTTCTGCAGTGACCTGTTCTCAAAAAGCACAGTTAACTCTTTAGCCCCAGCGACCTAAAAAAAAAACAATGACAAAGATCTGTATTTTCTGAATTTCAGGTTTTCCCAAAAAATATTTCTATCTTCTAACAAAACAACCATTTTACATGGGTCCCACACACACAAATCATAACGATTCCACTTAAAGACTAGAACAATATTTAAATGAATATAAAATAATGGGAGTAATCAATAAACACATGGGGCAGAGAACTAACTGGGTTACATCTCTATCAGACCAGCCGCATTTACTTCCCATGACAATTTCTTGTACCTTTTTTACACTGTCAGCCTGGCAGGTTAGGTTAATTAGGAAAACCTGCCTCAGTGTGGAAACCTTTGGACCAGCAGACTGTAGCCACTGTGTCAGAGTGGTTCCAGTTCAAAAACAGCTCAAAACAATTAAGAGCACAGAAAAAGTAAATGAAATCCGACACTTACTGGACAGTCCTCACATCTAGGTCCCACCATGTTGCTGCTTGGATCACAGTAACACCTTCCACACTGACACTTGCCAAAGTCATTACATATTTTCTAGAAAGAGGTCATTTTAGTTAGTTATTTATAAATCAGACATAAGACAAAGTACATACAAAGAACAGACAATGAGAAGCTACACTTAGTATGCTAAAGCTAATGTAATTTCAAGTAACATTATGTGTTTTGGCAAATTAAAACAATACAGACTGAAAAAAGTTAATACAAAATGGATAAAGTGAATTAAAATAACTTAAGAATGTAACAAGAGTAGCTATGAAACGTAAACTCCTCGTGTGGGTTCCTTGGCCACCATTTTTTAGGGAGAAAAAAGAACAAACACATTGCCCATCCCTAACAAGCATGTCATAGAAGGTGACTAATTAGGGATGTTCCCTTGAAAGTTAGAGTGCATTTACTTGGGAAGCATACAAATAAGCCAGATCTGTGTTTGTTTGTTTTGTTTTAGTATCCAGAAGCCATGAGTTGTTAACCCTTAGGCTCGGTATTATGGATATCGCAACCTTTCGGCCTTGATTCCATTTTAAATACCGCAAATCTGGGAGAAATGTGGCTTTTCTGCCCACCCCCAGGAGCGAACCCGGACCACAAGGAGTTCGTCACCCGCTCACCGCGCAATCCGGTTTAGCCAACTGCGCTAGAGAGACGGGCGACCAGATCTGTGAAACATGCATGCAAAACTCATGTTCTAGATTAAAGTAAGGTCCCCTTCCAACGCCTTTAGGACCAATCAGCACAAGATGGGTGATGTGGTCAGCATCACGCCGGCCGCCTTACTTCCTGGGACTGCACCCGGTACCCACTCAAGGCCGGGTCGACCTGGGAGTCAAGGTCATTTCTGAAAAAGTCCAGCTCCGCCAGGGAGCGAACCCACAACCTTCGATTCGCAGGCAAACATCTAGCCGCTATGCCACGGCGACTGCCTTCATGTTCTAGAAGAGAATCAAAATCCAGAAGCGGATAAACAACCAGAACTTTTCACTGAAGTTTACATCCTGTGATTGGAAAGAAGAATAAGACATGTAAACAATTCTTGAAACAATAAAGAAGCATTTGGTGAGCTGCCTGGTACCAGCAGAGTTACAGGACACATGTATGAAAGTATCTAATAAACATCACAAACATAAAGCAACAGTGAAGGCCTTTACCCCAGTGGAAGCCCGGCAAATATCAGTGTCAGTGGTGCATTCACAGTCTTCCCCAGTCCAGCCCTGGAAACAGTTACACTTGCCACATTTGCAGGTGCCTCTCACTGAGCCTGTGTCAAAGAAATAAATTCCATATTCAGGGTTACGGACAAAATATAGTTAGTTAGTTAGTCTTTCCTCCTGAGCCTAGGGTGGCGCACAGGGCAGTCATAGCTCTCCATGTCTGGCCGCCTGTTTTAGGTTTTGGATGCTCATTAGGTCCATGGCTGAGCCTTCTCTGATGATGGTTCTACGCAGGGTCTCTCTTGGTCTTTACCATTTTCTTTTCCCTTCCGGTGTCCATATGAAGGTTTGATGGGGGAAGTCTTGTCTTGTCGATTCTGAGTGCATAGCCGATGTAGTTCCAGCGACGCTTTCTTATAAAATTGAATACATTAACTTATTTGGTCTCTAATGTAGTCCTCAGGGATTTTTTTTTAATGATTTTGTTGTACAGAAATGTAAGTATTTGGACATAGGGATAACATCAGATGGAAAATGCATTACTGAGATGAGAAACAGAATAGGACAGGCAAAAACTGAATTTTATAAAATGAAGAACATCTTATGCAATATATCTTTGTCAGTGAGAGCTAGAAAGAAAATTCTTGCTTTCTACATACATCCAGTTTTAACATATGGCTGTGAATCCTGGACAATTGGTAGGCAGGCCAAAATATTTCTTGAGGCCTCAGAGATGTGGTTTTTACAGAAGAATGCTTAAAATACCTTGGACAGCTAAAAAGAGCAACCAAGAGGTTTTGAAAGAGGCGGGAGCCTGAAGACAACTTATCACAGACGTCAGAAGGAGACAGTCATCATTTTTCGGCCATGTTATGAGAAGAGGGAAAATGGAACATGCTGTGACTACTGGAAAGATCTGTGGAAGGAGGGATAGAGGAAGACAAAGAGAGAAGATTCTTCACAGTCTTGTTGCATGGCATGGAGGTGTGTCAGCACACGAACTGGTACATGCTGCAGGAGATCGCAGATTATTCAGAGGTATGATCGCCCACCCCAGTCGGCAAGGCACCTGATGATAATGACGATGATGATATATGAAACTTCATTTATGCGATCATGTAAAAGTAAAAAACCATTTTCACACCTTCAGGCATATTGGGCATGTAGCGCTGTGTCGATATTTTTAAGACAAATCGGTAGTTGGTAGGTGATGTGGTCAACATCATGCCAGTTGCCTTTATTTCCCAGGACTTTACCTAGTACCCATTGAAGGCTTGGTCAACCTGTGAGCCAAGGTCATTTCTGACAAAAAATCTGGTTCTGTTGGGATTTGAACGCATGACCTTTGATCCGCAGGCATGCATCTAGCTGCTACATCACAGCAGTTCTCTTTATGAGGTCATGAGTGAAAGGAATTGTGAATGAAATGACAAGGCCAGTTTAATAAGCAAAATCACTTCAAATATTCCGAAAGATAGACAGCTTAATCTGATTATCCCAATTATTTTAAAAGTGCACAAATAATATGTTATACTTAACTTATACAATCATATAATGTTATAATTAAAACATAATCTATGCAATATTAAATAGCCAAAATATATACACAAATATAAATATCTAATATCAGAAAAGAAAAGCTGGAGTTTTATAACTACTCGGTTTATAACCAACCCATATAATTAAAAACAACCTGTTCTATTTCAAAGCACGCTCTTATTCATATTTTTTTTGGGCCTCTTAATACAGGCTCGTACTCAGTACAGATTTCTTATATTTTGTGCTGCATGTTTTAAAAATGTATTATGGAGAAAGAAGTCCAAAAAAAAATATTGTTCACATTTTCAAATACAATTTGTAATGTCTAACACAACTGCAGAAAAAACTAAATTATGTGATGCATGCTTGCAATGACTTGGCAAAGAAAATTATTCCTTTTTTCATTAGTAAGAATATTTTTTGAAAAATTAGGCCAGAAAATTTTGAGTCCGGATAACTGTGAGCCAGATAATCAAAGTTCCATTGTATAAAAATTACTCTCTTTGCATATAACATATGAGACGTTTCTCCTCGAGACAGATGGAAACTGGAAACTTATTAGAGAAATCTGATGTAGATAGTCAGTGTTTTAATAACAGGTTATGAGAAAAAAAGGGAACTCAAGAACTTGATAACAACTGGCAAGACTGATGGACAAAGAGCAAGGGGAAGGCAAAAGGGATAAATACCTTGATGGCTTAGCGATAAGGAGAGCGCAAGATAAGAACAATGTCCTGTTCTCTAAGTCTGGTGATCGCATAAGACGGCAAAACATGATCACTTACATATATCAGTACGGCACACAGTGATGATGATTATATAATGTTTTAAATCTTTGCACATGTGTACATGCACATAAGCATGTCTACTCCAACATGCAAACACACACATACATTTCTATTTACCTCCACAGAGTCCATACTGTCCCACAGGACAACTGTAATCATTACACTGACAGTAGTCGCCACTGAACCTCTGAGCAGAGTTGGTGTTTAATGGGAAGCAGCTACACACCCCACAGATGCACTCTCCTTTGCCTGAGCAGGTCAGGGTTTCATTTTTGCTGCAGAGATCAAAATACTTGGCTAACACAAAATTGTTAATATGAGATTAGAAGATGTGGTGTTGGTGACTTTGGAAAGAGGCATGAGGGAAAGTAGAGGCTGTTGTGCTGTGGATAAGGTGATAACCAGTACTTCTCCTCAAGGACCAGCAGGCTCTGTGCTGGGTTTATGATTCCTCATGCAAAACTCCTGCCCCAGGTCCACTTCGTGCACAGTTTATAATGGCCTATATCAGACTAAACTGAGCTAGCAGGGGATCTCATAGCTGGTGGCCTCCAGAGATGCAATGTGCAGAGAACCTCTGGTACTCATCAGCCCACCCTGAAAGCATGGGTGATAATGTTCATTGAAAACTCATCTTGAAAATAAGTAAGTCCACTGGCTGAGGTTCCTAAATGACACATTTTGGTTCAAATTTCTGTTCATTGAGTGTCCTATTAAATGGCAACTGAAGTTCAGATGTCCGACGATCAAGTGTCCTACTAAATCGCAGTCAAGGTTCAGATATATGTCATTCACAGACACTACCTGATGACACAAAAGGTTCCAATACCCGATACCACTTGCCCCACTCATCAGTGTCATGACCATAAGGAGACGCCATGCCTTATGCAAATTTTCCATATACTACCATGCTAAATGTCCTCAGGCACCACATGAAAGGCTAAAAGAGAAGCTTAATATGCTGAGGAAATGAGATGCCCATTTGGTCTGGGTTATTAAAGTCTTGAATCTGCTGAATGCTTCCCAAGGATGCCTAAAGAATGCAGTCCACAATGAGAGGGAAAATCAAAAAACAGGTTAAGAAGACATGGGCTGGGGTGAGCCCAATACCAGAGCACTATTTATCGGCTCTGCACTTATGGAAGCTTCCTTGGATGGCTAGGAATGCCCATGATCTGCCCCTGCTTCCCCTTGAGGACAGTCCAGTCTGTACGTAGCAGCCTTGGTTGGGTCCTCTAGGGGTAACACCTGTGGATCAGGGGATGACAAAGACCAAACATAAATAAGGCTGTAAAATATTCTATACTGTCCCCAAAAAACTAAAGGGGAAAGTTACACAGGAAAACAAATGGCTGAAAGTAACAAATATTACAGCAATGCTGTGTATCATTCAACCCTACTGGGACCGCACAACGAGCGACCAATACCCGGTGACACAAAGTGCCATGGCTTGAATGAGGATCACCCAGACACATGAGGATCACCCAGACACATGAGGATCACCCAGACACATGAGAATCACCCTGACACATGAGGATCACCCAGACACATGAGGATCACCCTGACACATGAGGATCACCCAGACACATGAGGATCACCCAGACACATGAGGATCACCCAGACACATGAGGATCACCCTGACACATGAGGATCACCCAGACACATGAGGATCACCCAGACACATGAGGATCACCCAGACACAAGTCCCAGTTCTTTGGTTGCATAATTTTGCACAAATCTACAGCAGCATGATGATGTCAAACAAGATAACACAGTACTTGTTCTTGAAATTTGTTCCCCATTCAACTGTTATGTTATATTAGGGTCACCGAGTAAAGCTGGGGTGGGGTTTTAAAATACAGAAAGATTGTGCCCTACATTGGTGCGGGAACTGAATTCAGCTATACTGTAAACAGGCAAATGCAGTTAGGTCACTCAAGTGAAGGATCAATAAGCAAAGATTACAAATTCTGCCGATGTTATGCTCTGAATGATCTGAGGTACACTGAGGATTACATGTTGACTAACTAACATTTTAAGCTAAGTTGAGAAGCACTAGATGCCTCTAAAGTCAACTCACTCCATTCTGCACTGTTCCAGAGATTTCTCACTAGATATCTGGAATTCATCACATTCACAATGGCGGCCGTATCTGCCAGTGTCACAGTTGCACATGCCACACTCAAAGGTTCCGTTGCCATGGGTACACTTGTCACTCTTCACTTCCTGCAGAAACCACAGAAAATAAATACTCCTGCTAATTTTGTTAGTCTTGTAAATTCTGAAAGATTGCAACATTTTCACAAAAGATTGATCTGCATATTAATTAAAATTAAATTAATAAATTCTTGAAAGGCAAGGAACCAACAGTCTGCATACAAATAAGCTAGATCTGTAAAATGCAACACAACACTCAGGATATGGAACAAGACTAAAGTCCAGAGGTGGATGAACAATCAGAACATTCTGCTGGCATTCACAATTGTTGAACGTGAAGAAGAAAATATTGCACATTCACATTTTAATGAAATAATAATTTTAATTTTAAAAAACCTAAACATGAAAACACCAATAATTTTACAAAAAATTTAATGGTTCATATAGCAGCCTAGCTTTAAACACAATACACTTTTAAAGGCTAATGCGCCCGGCTCGCTAGCGTAGTTGGCTAAACCGGATTGCACGGTGACCGGGTGAGGAAATCCTTGTGGTCCGGGTTCGGGGGTAGGCAGAAAAGCCACATCTCTCCCAGATGTACAGTATTTATCATGGAATCAAGGCACAAAAAGTTGCGATATCCATAATACCGAGCCTAAGGGTTAACAACTCATGGCTTCTGGATACTAAAAAAAAAAAAAAAGGTTAATGCACAAGATAGAGGATAAGGCAGAGGAGGAAAAGAACCAAAAGAATAAGACAATGAAGAAGAAACAATACAATAAAAACAACCGTGTAAACATTAACTTCACATAGATCAAATAAGGGCTACCTCATGTTCGGGACCCTCACATTCACATTCACATTGGATTCTCAACTTGACATCCAGCTGTTCGTTCAGACCCACCGCATCCAGGGTAACCGTCCTCTCTACAAACCCAGTCCGGCCTATACACACATCCCTGCTGACCGTCATGGTCACATCAAACTCCACCTGCAGACACAGAAACTATCATGACACAATTTCACAAAGCTAATTATTTATATATAATAGGAAGCCATGATAGCGATGCTTGCCTGCCTGACTGCCTGAAGGCCTTAGGTTTAAATCTACGGAGTCAGCAGACTAGCGTGCCAGCCACAGCCCTACTACAGCTCACTTTTAAAGTAATCTAACTTTGACTATTCAAGGTGGTTGTTTACTCTCTGGAGTATCTGCCGTCAAACAATTGTTGTCTTGATGAGTTAAAGCAAGGTCCCAAATGTCTTTCTCTTTAAAGATTTTAAAAATCAAAGAAGGTTTGCACCAGGTTTTAGCTTATGGCTTGTCTGTCTCTGCAGAATTGTTAGCTGCATACCGACAGCATAAAACACAATCTACAGCCTCTACAGCTCCAGTGACAATTTACAGGAATCTCTGTAAAAATTGCTCTCATGAACCGGCCGATGAAGACTGTGAAATGAATCCATGATCTTTAGAGCATGAGGCAAATGCTTAATCATTAGCCACGCCACGGTCACTCTCTGAGATCTCTTCTTTCTGGGCAAGAAATTATCAAAAACTGTCAACATTATTAAAATGTATCACATTGTGTGTTCGTACGTGTGTGTGTGTGTGTGTGTGTGCATGTGGGTATTTGGTGTGGGGTCGGTGTGTGTGCGTGTCTGTGTGTGTGAATGTAAAATATAGCTTTCAACTTACAGAAGACTTGATTTCCAAGTTGTCACAATCAGCCGTTTCTCTAACAACATCTCTGAAAGTTTAAATTATCACAATCATTGACAGAGTTTTTTATGAGCTGAAATTTATTTTGAATTTATGAAAGACAAAGCTTTGAGTTACAAGAAACATGATATCCAACACACTATAAATTACAAAACTGACACAAGATAATGACCAGGCAAACACATTAAAATTTTTTATTTGAAAAAAAAATGTATAGAGATGAAAATATTGTTTCTGAACTATCAGTGATGTAACTGCTAGTTTACACCAGCTTTCTGGCAGAAAGTCCTGATTGGTTATCTCTGGATATCACTGGTTAGCTGTAAATCACAAAAGAATGAGTCAACTGCCCTTTTAAGGGCAGACACAGGAGAATAAAATAATATGACATTTTTTAAATTAGATTTTATTCTAGAAGTGACATCAAAGCACTCGGGGCATTCCTATAAGTGCACCGTCCCCATCTTCAGTAGCCAACACAGATTTCCAATACCAACGGTGCCAGTAGCAGTCTGATTATATGTCTGTCTAGCTTTTCCCCTGAGCATCGAGTATTGGCCAGGTCTCCTCATCACTTCTCACTGCATCACTCCCACTAGGCTGTGATGATCAATTTGCTGTTCCAAATTGTACATGTACGCCCATAAAGCCTGTCTACTTTTTCATGTATCAATATTCCACCAGCCCTATATGCCCTATACGCCTAAAGGCATAGAAAAGGGTCCTTTACTTTTACTTTAATATTCCACCAAGTTGTGCAGAGCCAGCCAATCTGTATCTGTCCGTCTGTTCATTTCTCAACACACCAGCATATCCCGGAGAAAAAATTCAAACAATCCTCTTCACCCTTGAGCTCCAAAGAGAAGCATGCCACTCTGCATGAAGCATGCCACTCTGCATGAAGCATGCCACTCTGCATGAAGCATGCCACTCTGCATGAAGCATGCCACTCTGCATGAAGCACGCCTGACTAAATCTTCCTCAGCATGATTTCCCAGTCAGTTACAATCATGATGTGTGTGTATATTGTGTTCTCTAGCAAGCGGAAAGCCGCAGTGACTGCCTCCACCTCCATTCTTAAACTGGATGTTATGACATCATATGCTCTGCTCCACTAATTGAGACAGTGAGCAGTCTTAGTCCATATCAATTACTGAGAGGACCAAATGCTGATATAGTGTGAAAAGCATTCTCTGCTCTATGTCCACTGCAGCCTGTCTTAAGTGCACTTTTTCGAATGATGTTTTTCTAATAAAAATAAGTATAATTTCTCTATCTAATGATTTTGGGACATTTGTTTGTACCTAATTTCACTGACAAACATCATGTCCAAAATAATTATTTTGACCCAAAAATCACCACCACCATCATCATGAAAGACTGGGTTTTTTTAATGTCTGATTAGGTAACTCACTGTCAACCTCATCATCATCATGTAGCAGGTCTTTTAGGGAATTTCATTCCTATCTCAGCGAACCTGAAAGAAATTTAGTCTCTTGCCAGCTCTCCCATCTCATGCATTTTCCTTCCCAAGGTGCCTCTTATATCCTGTTCCCATCTTCATGCTGGTCGACCTCTGCACTTCTGCTGGCACCATGTTCTCTGCTTCTATTCTTTCTAATCCACTGTGGTGCTAGATACGGCCAAAATATTTCAATTTTTGCGATAAGATACTGTTTATGAGCCAATCTTCCTTGATGTCATTATCTCTTTTCTTCTTGCTCCATTGTCAACCTGTTCGCAGCAGTTTGAATTGGTAATAAAAGATGTAAATATATTTTTTTTTTAATATAATGAATTCATTAAGAAACTTGTTTTATTAACCGTGCATTATGAAATGATATTCCAGCTCATCAGGTATAAGATACTTCCTTAATCAACCAGAATTTCAAAGCAAGAAACATTTTAAAAAAATACATTATGTAACATATAATTAATAATTTGTTTGTCTAGCAGCTAATTTAGTATTTATTACTGATACTCAGATATTATCTTTTATTTTAACTCTTTCAGTCCCCAAACAATGTATCATGCATGACTAGGTCTTCTGGGAATCCCACTTAACATCTAATATGTTCTCATTTTTTTTTTTTTTACATTTGACCAGAGCACATAAGAAAATCTGGCTTCCACTGCATTTAGCTTCTTTGAAAGTAATTTACTCATGTTGTATCCTAGTGGTTATTTATACAAATGGGCACTGTGAGTCCATTTTTTTTCCCTGCAAATCTGTTTGGCACTGAGTTAATGTCAATTATGAGATACATTTATTCAGTTCTACTAGGAGACTGGACTATAAGATGCAATTAAGTTCAACCTTTCACCTCACCTTCTATCTTTAAAAAAAAACCAATGTAAACATATTATTAGACAAACTTCAGTAACAGTTAACACAAAAACAAAGACCTTAAGTAAACGAAATATTCTGAAAACATTATGTGACCTAATAATACTTGTTTATGCTAATGAAAGGTTTGAAAAGTGTCAAGTAAAAAATGCAAATTTGCTTCACTATTGTCTCGTTTGTTTGCTGGGTCAAGAGCAGTTAAATCACACACAAAATAATAATGTTAATAGTGAGTGTTTTAAGCAGTTAACACAAGACAAATATGCATCAGCAACATCCACACTTGCCAACCAAAGAAAAATACTGCACACATCCTTTCTGTTGAAAGCTATTTGAAAGATTTACATATTTCTTTAACCCTTTAAGAGCGTAGGGGCATCAGAACTTGAGGGTTTATTAGGCCTTTTCAGCATCTCCCACCAAACAAACTTGTATGGGGACGTGAGGGGGATGTGGTGGTGGTGGTGGTGGTGGGTGGGTGGGGGGGGGGGAGGTTAAGTGGTCTCCTAACCCTGAATTTTACCCCAGAGCAATGTGCATCAGTAGATTTTTAACTCTTTAAGTACTGGAACAAGGTTTCATATGAGATGCCCATGAAGAAGTATCAGTGATTACAATCTGTCAATGAATTACTTTCAAAGTGGTAATATGACGGTACTAGTACACATTGGACAAATTAGATTTCTTGAGTGAGTTCTGACCAAATACAAAAGCAGGAGAGCATATTTAGCTAAAGGAGGGGATTCGGCAAATATGATGATTCACACATCATGCAGTGTTAGGGACTCAAAGAGTTAACCAGTGACGGGAGATTTTAGGTTGACCCCAGGATGAAATAGGTCCTGTGAAATGTAGCTGGTGTGATGTCAACCATAACAATGATCAAGTCTATACAAATATGGGTTTAGCACCATATGTCTAATGCATCAATGGCGGGAAAAGGATCCTTTACTGACTTATATCTCAAGCTAGTGGGTTACTCGTGTGGGTTCTGGGGCCTCATTGTGGGGGAAAACAAGAACAGCCTCACTGCCTCTCTAACAAGCATGTCTTAAGAGTCTACTAACTTGGAGCTTTCTTCAAAATCAGAGTGCATCTGCCTGAGAGGCAAGGAACCAACAATCTGTTTACAAATAAGTCAGATCTGTAAAATGGATGTGCACACAACACTCAGTTTCTGGAACAAGACTAAAGTCCAGAAGAGGACGAACAACCAGAACCTTCCACCAGAGTTTACAGGTGGTGAATGCAAAGAAGAAGAAGCTAGTGGGTATAGACAGAGAGTCTAACTCAAGCAAGCCTAGTCTGCTTCACAATGTTGACTGTTTATATGTTTTACAAAATAAGAAAAATTACAGTATACCCTTTCTGGGATCAGCTGATTGGACAAAAACCACTATCAGAAATGGTCAAGCAAAAAAAAAAATTTACAAACACAACATCCATGCCAAAAACCATTTCTCATATCATCATCAAAGCAAAGTTAGATGACACAGGTTTATAAAAGTAAATGGCAATCCTGAAGCAGAAACTGGCAATCGCTAGAGGTATGGAATAATTAAAGACTATCCACACACACACAAAAGGTCATTCTTCTTCTTAGTATTCACCAGATGTACACTCTGATGGAAATTTATGGTTGTTCATACACTTCTAGAATTTGGTCTTGTTCCAGAACTTGAGTTTTATGCACCCTTCCGTTTTACACATCTGGCTAATTAGTTAAATTAAGAGAGACGCACTCCAAATTTGAAGGAAACACCCATAATTATTCATCTTGTATGGCATGCTTTATGGGGTGGGGGGGGGGGGGGGGGGGGGTGTGGTGGTTATTCTTTTTCTGCCCAAAATGGGGTCCAGAAACCCACAAAGGTAACTAGGTAATTATATTAAAGGATATTAACATTTCTCTTCCACAACTTGTTTGTACATAAGTACATTAATCAAAGTGTGACTAGTTATAATAGTATTTGTATATAAGTACACTAACCACAATGCTCACAGTTCTCATCATGTTTGTACCAAGTACTTTAACCACATGATGCCATTCTCATGTCTGTTCACAATACACTAACTACAGTGCAACCAGTTCTCACTTATGGTGTATGAACACAATCTAATGACCACAATGAAACCAGTTCTAATGGTGTTTTACACAAGTATTCGTACATTAACGACAATACTGCTAGTTCTCATATTTGTACACAAGTACATTATGTACAACTGTGTCAATCTGTATGGTGTCTGTTCATAAGTACGCTAACAACAATGTAACTAGTTTTAATGGTGTTTGTACTCAAGTATATAAACTACTATTCTATTTTTATCCTCTACACCAACCACCAATTTGTATAGGGCTGGTCCACTAGTCACAAAATTACCAGTTCTCAGGGAAGAAATTAAGTTTGTCATAAGGTTAATAGATCTCAGGGAAGAAATGAAGTTTGTCACAAGGTTACCAGTTCCCAGGGAAGAAAATAAGTATGTCACAGGTTACTGGGTTCTCAGGAAATTAAAAAAAATAGTTTAAAGATGTACTAAAAGACTGGGATAAAGTGTCATATAAAAAACAAAAACATAATGATTACATTTAAAAAAAAAAAAAAAACAGTATAAAAACAACAATAATAATCCTTTTATAAACCAAAGAAAATTCCACTGTAAATTGCCATGTCCAGGGCTTGTTTCTGGTGGTATGCAGAGGTAGCAGGGCTGACATATTTTCTTTGTTTTTTTAGGTGCTGATGCAATAGACACTTGGCAGTGAGTACTGACACCTTTGTAAAGACTTTATGTGGTGAGTTCCAGCACCTTTGTTTACAGAAAAAAAGCCCTGTCTATAGCCAATAAGTTTCCAATCTACATATTAAAAAAATGCCAGTGTAAGTGTCTATGTCTATAAAACACACAGACAAAATGCCTAATCTCACCCAAGGCACTTGGACTTGAACACAATGGTCACATTGTCTGCATTATTGGCCTGAAACTTGATGCGTGATCGCAGTTCCTATTGTGGACACAAGAGAACATGCAGCAGTGCAAATATGCAATGTCATGAATCAAGTCAAGTAACACATTAAGTTAGCACAAGGTCATTCAATCTTAAGTCATGCATGTGATTTTGTCTTAGTTAGAAAGATCCGGGGGGGGGGGGGGGGGGGGGGGGGGGGGGGGGGGGGGGGGGGGGGAGGGGGGGTGGGGGGGGGGGGGGGGGGGGGGAACCAACACTTGTAATTTAAACTTTACAGTGTCTGGCACTCGGCATTAAGAACTTAAAAGTCTGTCGGTTTGTTTAGATCAGGAGTGGGGAACTTTCTTTTCCACAAAGGCCAGTTTGGATATTTATAGCATAAAATTATCAGCTTAACCTGAGGCTGTGTGGTCTCGAGATATGGCATCTACATCAAGTGCTAGAGGTCCCAGGTTCAAGCCCCGATGAAGGCTGGGATTTTTTCACGTGGTCTTCTAGTAATTTCCCCTGGTCTCTGGGAAGTAACAGATGCCCGTGTGTACTGTTGCGCACGTTAAAAAAAATTCTTCACAGTTGGAAATTGAAAAGAGTAGCCTAACAGTGCTGCATGAACAAAATTGTGAGTTAAAAATCTAACTCAAGTATTTCAGGATCCTTTCCAGTGCCACAGAGTTTGTGCACTGCACTGAGATTCTTCAGACTCAGGCTTGAGTCAGAAGCAGAACGGATCACTTATGGGTTACTACCCTTGTGCCATGATATTGATCCATCGTCTAAACCAAAACCTATCAACTTAATAATTAGCCTGCTACATCTGGTCAAACATTTAATTTTGGTTGCCTGATAGGGCCAGGCAAAATGATTTCTTATGCCTTATACAGACTGTGGTCTGGACAGTCCCCTCCTCTGGTTTAGCACAAATATAAAATATTGCATTTTTTATTTTCATTCAAGGATAGGAAGGAAGTAAAATAAGCAAAGGACCCGTTTCAAGGCGTACAGGGCATATAGGGCTAGACCTATATTTTATAGACCAATCGGCACAAGATAGGTGATGTGGTCAGCATCATGCCAGCTGCCTTTACTTCCCAGGACTGCACTCGGTACCCACTCGAAGCTGGGTCGACCTGGGAGCCACCAGGGAGCGAACCCACGACCTTCCAATCCGCGACTGCCATAGGAAGGAAGTGAAAACAAAGACAACAGGAAGGAAGGAAGACATTAGAAAGAAAGAAAGAAAGAAAGAAATGCTGTTAGTAACAGATGTTTATTCCCAACTTTTACACCTCATGCACATAATTTGTCTCACACCTGCCAATAATATGTCTCACACCTGCCAATAATTTGCTCACACCTGCCATCCTCTGTGATTAACTGTCCATGGTAAGAAAGTCAGAATTAATAATAATGTATTCCTAAATCATAATCAGGGACCATCTCCATGATAAAAGTTGGTGGCAACAGATCTCCAACACATTAAATTTCCAGAAGTTTCCAGGTTATTTTATATATGACTTAGGTTCCCAGGTTAACCTAGCCTAAAATGGGGAAGAGGTAATGTCCTTGGAAGTAAAGATGACTGCTGTGATAGTGATTGCATCATCCAATGAGTATCGACTGGTCTATAAAAAATATGAGTCTAGCATTCCACGGCTAATGTATCCCTGGTGTGAAATAAGCTCTTTACTCACTATATTGACAGTAGCATGAAGACAGACATGTGCTGAAGTTTACCACATTAACAATAAATGACAAAATCATCATCATGTGCCACATGCAGAGCACACAAAGAAAAAGCAAAAACTACAATCAAATCAACAATCAGTAGACAGAACAAATGCATTAGAAAACTAACATTTATCATGCTTAAGATTACAAGAGACAAAATGCATAATGTGTTCTATTGTCTAGATCACATAGACTTCAAAATCTGCATTTTTCTTTTCTATTAAAAACTGTGATGTTTTCATTAGGTATTTGAATTCATTATATCCTGAATATAGCTTATTTATCTTAAATGAGTCAACAACCTTTATAGCCATGTCAGCATTGCTCAGTTTAACTTAATGAGTATAATTCTCTGTGCTGATTTCTGGTTACAAGAGATACTGACAGTATGAAGTTTGTGAATACCAATTTAAGTTGCCACAGGTCACAAAATCCTTAGATTGTTATCAATACTGTATTGTTGGCACTTTCGCTTGCTGCTGAAGATGGGGACTGAGTGCTTATGGAAGTGTCCCGAGTGCTGTAATGCTGATCCTTAATTTAACATTATTGTTAGCACTACATCAAAATAAACTCAGTGCAGTACAGGGGATTAATTTTTTACCTAAGTGCATTTTCAGGGCTATTATTTGTTCATTCACAGTAGGCCAAAAGCACATGTGTCAACTCCAATTAGGACCAAGCTTTATCGATCGGAGAACCTGAACATGGGCAATATTCAGGTGAAGTATCATAATATTTACCTACCAATTGTCTAAAATAATTTATTTGGCCAAAGTGACAAATCCACCTCAAAATTTTAAAAAAGAAGTCTAGAAACACATCAGAAAATGTATCTTTAGAGACATTATTCATTCCATTAAACAATGGACTCTCAAGACAGGAAGGCAGGTGGAATCAATTTAAAGCACCTAGACACGCAGGTACAGGCACTTAGAATCAAACTCATTGGAGACATCATTAAGAACCCACAAGACAACACCCTAGCCTTATTTTACATAGGAGTCAGAATCCATTACCTCAAGAAAATAGATAATACCCCACACTGTTATGATACTTGGCCAGATTTCTACCAAAGAAAAGCCTACCTCAAGAAAATAGATAATACCCCACACTGTTATGGTACTTGGCCAGATTTCTACCAAAGAAAAGCCTACCACCCACCAGGAGCAAGGATCACCTTCTCTAGCAGTCAGCCTATACAAACATCTAGTCAAGAGACTAGTCCATCATTACATCTCAGAATGAAATAGGGACATCAATACTTTATCACAGACTCAACCAACACTTTTTCCAACCTACGCAGCAAACACAACACAGCCATTGCTAGGAAAGTAACATACAGACTACTCTTTAATATGACATTCGTATAAGAAAATGTAGCACACATAATCAAACAGATAGCTCTATGCAAACTGCAATCAGAACATCCAATAAACAGAGCAGCACATCTTCTATGCATGCAAGGTAGTCATACCCACACATCAGTTATTCAAAACTATCATACAGACAACTACAGGGAAGGTCACAAATTTCACACTGCCATCTTTCTTAACGCCAATTCCAAAATCAGATGAAGAATCATAAACAAAATTACTAATAGCTTTATCACAGTGCAGACTTTTAATATGGACCCATAAAAACGAGGCCACTTACAAATTCTGAACTTATAAGAAAGAAGTATTCCTAATGTTTAAATTTAAAAAAAATAAAGGATTTGTCCCCAGATACAAATGCTACAAACCTCCAACAGTGAGGTCATTGTAAATACAAACTGTCATTACCTCAAACCTCCCCGTGTGGCTTCAGGGGCCCCCCTGTGGGGAAAACAATAATCGACCCACTGCCTACCCAAAAGCATGTAGTAAGAGTCGACTAATTGGGGAGCTTCCTTTGAAGTCAGAGTGTGTCTGCCTGAGAGGCAAGGAACCAACAGTCTGTATTCAAGTAAATCAGATCTGTAAAACTGATGCATATGCAACACTCATGTTCTGGAGCAGGACTGTAGTTCAGAAGTGGACGAACAACCAGAACTTTCCGCCAGAGTGTACAGCTAGTGAACGCGAAGAAGAAGAAGATTACCTTAAACCTTCCAAACATACTATCATCATCAGCACCATTATTGTCATCATCATCACTATGTATTTAAAAATGTTTCATTTTAAATGCTTAATTTTAAAAACAAAATGGTGTGTGCGTGCGTGTATGTAAACCAAATGGCTTTTAAAAAGCCACATGACATCAAATTTTCTTGTAGCCTCACTGATAGAGGTAACAGGGGTGACCAGGTCGCATGAGTTATCCAACAGATATTTTTAAAGGTCTCAAAGACTGTACTCCATTTAATGCTTTCCCTTGTTTATGTTTATTGATTACTCTCTTTAAATATACAAAAGTGTAAAAACTATCAGAAAGTTTTAAATTACCTTTTTAACTACTCCAAAACAATTGCGATACCAACAGCAAAAAAAAAAAAAAGTGTAACAGCAAAAGACGATAACTGCAATGTCCCACAAAATTAACCAGGAATGCTAACCCGGTCAACAAATGTCTGCAGAAGACGTATGTGCTGGCCGAAAGATATAAATATTGCAGCCATGCTGTAAATGGACACAACGCAATCACATCTTTCGTTGAATGCAGAAGAAGAATAAACGATAAGATGTTCACAAAATCCTGATTATGGCTTTACGTGATGAGACTACTACTTTCCATTACGTGCCACTGCCCCCCTCCCTCCCCCCCCCCCCCAAAAAAAAACTATCACTACTGCCTGTATTTACCACTTTTGAGATGTTGGCAGGAGAGTCTCTGAGCCTGAGAAGATAGGGCCATATGACTAGTGCTGTGGCCATGAACTGCTCAGGTTAGGATTTTATTTTTGCCCTTGACACACACAAAAATCCATGACCTTACCAAAAAATCGAAGCAGAGTCTCCCATATGAAAGCTCTGCGGCTCCTCCATTGCTTGCTTCTTCTTCTGCCTTTCTATCCCCCAATGGAGCATAGGCCCTCAACCAACTCACGCCAAGTCGTTCTATCCTTCGCCATTACATTGAGCTCTCCCCATGTCCTCCCAATCTTTCTAACCTCATTCTTCAGCTCTCTTCTCCATGTGTTTTTTGGCCTTCCTTTATTCCTATGCCCCTGTGGGTTCCAATGCAAAGACATTCTAGTTATGCTGTTCTCCTGTTTTCTCAGTGTGTGCCCTATCCAACGCCAGCGTCATTCCTCACCTCCTGATCCACTGGAGCCTGTTTAGTTCTCTCCCAAAGTTCTACATTAGTTATTCTATCATACCATTTTATTCCCTCTATTCTGCGCAGGCACCAGTTAATGAATGTCTGTAATTTATTAGTAATTGCCTTGGTTGTTCTCCATGTTTCCGCCCCATACAATAGTACTGATTTGACATTAGAATTAAAAATTTTTAGTTTAGTATTTCTTTTAATTTCTTTTGACCTCCACAAATTCCCTAGTGCTATGAAAGCCCCTCTTGCCTTTTGTATTCTTATTTTAATATCTCTATCAGTTCCTCCATCTTTATCTACATTACTGCCTAAATAGGTGTATGAATCCACGTCTTGGAGTGGGGTGCCATTAAGAGAAACCACATTACTATTTGCTTGATTTATTCTCATTATCTTTGTCCTTCCTTTATGGATTTTCAGACCAAGCTGCTGTGATCTCGCATTAAGTATATTTAATTTATCTTGTATCTGATTCCGTGAATGGGACAGAAGGGCAATATCATCAGCGAAGTCCAGATCATCAAGCTGTTTTGTAGGAGTCCACTGAATTCCATTCTTGGTGTTAATCGAAGCAGGGTCTCCCATATGAAAGCTCTGCGGCTCCTCCATTGCTTGCCACTGAACTTAAATCAGGTGGTTATTTTATGATTTAGCAAACAAGCAAGAATCTGACCAGGATTCAAGCAATGCTGATGATATAATGTAGTCATAAAAGGCATCTTCCTTTGCTCGAGTTATTGGTCCCGCCAACATTTTCTCTACCAGGAGAGACGTGCTTGTTGAACAAAGAACTGTGAAAGTAACTAAGCCCCTTTAACAACACAATGTTTATGTCTCTATAAAAACTTACATAATACTTGGCTCTGATAAGATCAACAATATTTTTTGAATCTTCTGCCAGTTCCCCGACCACAGCACCATCTAGAAAAAATCGCAGTTGTTGGTAATGGCTTGTCACATTGCTCATGACTGCAAAGATAACATTGGCTTTCTTCTCTTTCATTTTGCTGGCAACCTGACTCACTGATGGGTAATCCTGTCAGAGGACAAAATATGAGATTAGGCTGGCTAGTTAACATTCTGATATGTGCTAAAAGTACTAAAATCCGAAACTACCCGTTTCCAACACTATCACGATTACGGCTAATTCCTTTCCTTTCAGCCCCGTATGTACCTGTGTGTACAGTCAAGAATTTTTTTTGAGGTGGGACTTCTGGAAGAAGCTGTCAACGCATTCCAATTGAAGTTTTCCAGTCTATTTCTTCTTTTAACACAGAGTCTGTCACTATCAATGCATGAGTTGCTTTCTTTTCCGCCAGCTATGCAAGTGCCTCTGTGATAGCTGCTATCTCCATCATCATGCTAAAAGTAGTGGAACTGAATCCTTGACTTTCTTCTTTTTTACTGTCCTGTGTGTGACCATGAGGGACTGCACCTATGAATCACTGAGCCATCTGAATAGACGATGACATCACCTGGTCAAGTATGCTCGTGGATGAGAGCTCTTATTTTAGCATCAGAGCTGTGTGGCTGTCACGTAACCAGCAGAAACCCCCTCTGTTAGTAGTTCCGTCCACATACTGTACAACTCTATGCAAATTATCTGTATTCAATTATGGACTATTCCTCCCTAAGTAAATAGCCCTTCTATAGTAAGTATGGGTCAGAATGTAGGTAAAGGAACTTTTTTCAATCCTAAATCTATTAGGAGTGAGTTATATTATATTCACTCACAGGTGATTTTCATGAGCAGTGAAGCAAAATTCTATGGCCGAACTACCACCGCATTTGGTGGAGGGAATCTTCCCCGCTTCTGGTTTGGGAGAGTTCGAAATATTAGCATAATTTGTGACGTAGCTTCCAAATTCTAAAGCCAGCAGACAGTCTAACGCCTTAACTATCAACTCACATAGAAATCTGGTTTGAAAGTCACCCATTTCACCTGAGAATTTTAAGAGAGTATGGGTAAGTTGTACATTACTTAACTTAGTTAAAGTCATTTATCCCAGATGGATCAGTCAAACGGGTGCAGCTATGGCACTCTGGCTGTACCTCATCAACACTGAACTCATACTGCAGATCACTACAGCTGGAGAGTTTCACAGGCATTCATATGAAAGATGTCATCTTATATTCATGCATAGAGGTCCATCCACCTTTGGATCATTGTATCCTTTTGAAAATGACTTTAGTCATGCAAAATTAATGGGGGGGGGGGGGGGGGGCATATATTTAGGTCGATAGTTGACCTAGAAAGCCACTGGCTTGTTTCGTGGTGAAATCAGGCATTTAGTTTTTTGGTAACAACTAGGATGATTTCCGGCTTCTTGATCTGAAAGGTCAATACAAATTCATTGTAGGGAAATTTATTCTGTATTATATGTATGTTTTTAGTCAGCTCTCCTGATTGAATAATCCATGATCCATTGTAGGCGTGTATTAGTTAGGCCTTCTTTAATGGGAGTAATATGGTTGAGTTTATTCTTATGGTTGGCAAATGTTGTTTCCATTGTAGAAGTATCTGGCTTGGCAAAATTATTACTATCTATTCTTGCTTGACGGGTGACACCTGTATCTAAATCCTTGTCAGCTCTCGTTCTTTATGAAGGTCAATCACTGTCATCTGAGCGTTGAAATTGAGTGATATGTAAAGTGGGGGGGGGGGGGGCAAGGTACACAGGGTACAGTGTTTAACTGGCTGTTACTCATGTTTCCATAGTGTTTGCAGGATGTGTACTGGTTTATCTGGGAGCTACGTCAGGATTATAGTCAATAAGATCCAGTGGGAACTATCACCCAACCACAAATCACCAGCAACTAGCCACTAGCTATTGGTTACTAGCTACCAGCATCCAGCAACCAGGTTCATCTTGGTACCTTGTTCCAGACACCTAGGCGAAACTGTGAGTGACTTGTTGTGTCACACATGCTAAATGACAGCAGATGCTAATTCATCATCGTCATCAAGAGCTGCCTTGCCAGGGTTTATCTACAGCCTTCTGCCACCAGCCAAAGCCTGAACTTTATATCTAACTAGGTTATGTGAACTTGGACTGAAGAGAAGAGCTGATCAACTATTGTCTATCCCTGCTGAAAAGTATTTTATGTGACACTGAGGGTACAGCCATCCGGGCACATAGTGCCCATTGCTTACCATTACTCTATTACATCCTCAGTGTAGTCATGAACTTGATTAGTGACTTTATGTTATGCCTGTAGTCATTACTGACTAACATATTATTTGTGTCGTATTATACTATTAGTCCTTTGTCTGTTTCAGTTTAATAAGATTTCTTATATTGTTGAAACTGATTACATCATGCGTTGTTATACAGAACTTACTTTTGTTGGTTTCTAGTATATCTCAGCTCATTTTAGTTAAGTCTTGGTATGCATTGTTATATCAGATTTGTGTTAATACTGTGTGTTTATTCTGACTGTGATAGTTAGTGATCCTATCCAGTCTTAGGGGTATTAAGTGGTGAGGAAGTCTGACCAAGTTGTGCCTAGGAATATTTGGAAATTCTGTGGTGCCAAAAACTTAATTTGCCTCATCCTTAAAGTGTTGTTGGATGGTTGCTGGAGAAGCGGAGTATCACCTAGACCAATACGAGCCGCTATCACAACATTTTACCACTTCAGAGTGTCTTCTGTTACTTGAGGTGACCCTAATTAAGACATGTGACAACATTGTCTCATGACAGTGGCTCTATTCTCTGTAATACCTGCCCAGGGTGATTGTCACCTCAGTATGCTCCTGACATTTTTTTGGTGTTTCTATCCATTCAGTACCAAGCCTGACATGGTCCAATGGGCAAATATGGTTAACGGTGTCCTCTGATTCTAGGACCACCCCCCACTTTAGTCACTTACCTTTGTTTTAGTAGTTACAGTATATGTATGTTGGCATCTGTTGCTTAGGTGTTGCGAATGTGCTTCGTAATGCCATGATGTTCAACAAACTATATGTATATAAAACAACTGAATCTAATGCATACAAATAATAGCTTATACTTTTGACAATTCAATATTGGTTAGTTGCCTATCCTTCACAAGACGTTACAGAACACACCCTAGCATTTTTTGGCTGTTGTGATTTTTCTAGGCAAGTTTACATCCAGTAGTTTGTCATTGCTTTCTGGACGGTCGGCTTCTTGATTCGACTGTCAAAACCACTACAAGGCCCGCAGCTGGGATTGAACCCGCACTCCGGCAACACCGAAGCCACAGACGCCGACGAGTATATATTTTTAGTTTAAAAATAACTTTATGATGAACAAATAATTTTTAAAAATGTTTAATGGCTAACTTACATATATCTTGTCATGTTCATACAGACCCTCTGAGTTCAAGGCACACTTGAGATCGCTTTGTCTGGTTGCACCACCAAGCTGTTTAACAGGATAAAAGTCATAACTTCTTCATTACACATTTGGAAGACATGTTAATAATAGGGGGAGCCGTCGTGGTGAAGCGGCTAGATGCCTGCTTTCTGATCCAAAGGTTGTGGGTTCAAATCCTAATAGGGCCAGACTTTTTTTTTTTTTAAAGACTTTGGCTCCCAGGTCAACATAGCCATGAATAGGTATCAGGTATAAAGTCTTCAGAAGTAAAGGCATTACTGAATGCCAACTGGTCTATAAGTAAGTATATAGGTCAAGCACTATTTGCCCAATAAGCCTGAATGAGTGGAAAAGGGTCCTTTACTTGTTAAACACTTTCTATAAATGTACTCATATACCATAAATATTCTATTTGCTACAGGAGTTAAGACAGGTATGTGAATTGTCATTATCAACTTTCTTTTAAACTACAAATACCCCAATAGCTTAGATAATAAACAAGCAATCAGATATCCATTATCCCTGTGTGGGTTCTGGGGTCCCACTGTGGGGAAAACAAGAATAGACCCACTGTCTCCCCAACAAGCATGTCGTAAGAGTCAACTAATTGGCAGCTTCCTTCATAGTAAGACAGCATCTGCCTGAGAGGCAAGGAACCAACAATCTGCATACAAATAAGTCAGATCTATAAAATGGATGTGCACGCAAAACTCAGTCCAGAGGTGGACAAACGACCAGAACTTTTCACTGCAGTTTACAGCCAGTGAACGTGAAGAAGAAGAAGATAACTGTTTTGAGACCTTGGAGATGTGGATATACAAATGAATAGACTGTATTTCATAGAAATAAAAATAAATCTAATACAGAGTTTCTGCAATGATGGAATAAAAAGAGAGCAGTTTAAACAAATTTTTCAAAAGACAATTGAAATGTTTTGGTAACATTAACTCCTTTTGTCCCACTCAATGCACTATGTTACTGGATTTTATGCATGTGTATCTATCAACCCATTAAAACTTTTTAATATCCTATGTTTAACTAATTTTTGTTGTTGTTGTTAAAGCACTGATAGGTTTTTTTCTACATGGGTTATTAATTTAACCTATTTCAAAATAATGCACAGAAACTGTGATTGTTGTCCTTATTACATTCCCGGGTCATTAGGCGCAACTGTGTGAACTGTAAGAGTTAAAAATAAAAGACATAACACTCAAAAACCAAACTGGAGAGAAAAGCTGAAAATAGGTGAGCAAAAGTAGGTGTATGTGCAAACTGTTAATAATCATGTCCTTGCAATAAATTTTAAAAAAAATGTAAACAGACATCTATTTTTTTTTTTTCATTTTGCCAAATTTGTGGTGTATGAAAAAACAGACAACGGATTCAAAGTCACTGAAGGCCACATACCTACCTATTTTTGTGGTTATCTATACAGTTTTCAAGATATTTTAAAAGTGTGAAGGCAAGAGTTGTGAAACACACTATAGTAATACAAGTTGGATGAGTAACATATTAGTGGTGTATTAAAAAACAGACACCGATTCAAAGACATTGAAAATCTAAGACCACATACCTAAATTCATTGTGATCCATATAGGAGTTTTCAAAATATTTTTAAAGCGTGAGGGCAAGAGTTTTGAAACACACTACAGTAATACAAGTGGGGAGTATGATAGATCAGCAGAGAATGTGAGAAAATGTTCAATGAAAAGTAAGAGATAGTGAGTTTTGGAAGGTAGAAAGTCTTTCATAAAGAAACATCTTTATGATAAGATGGTTCTAGATAATTGAGATGAATAAAATAGTGTCATGTAAAACCAGCACATAATATTATAAGTGAATAAAAATCATGTCAAGATAAGGTGGAGGGTAACAGCTGAAAAGGATTGCTCTCTCTTTCCCCCCCCCCCCCCCTCTCTCATTCACTCCCTGCTTCTCCCTCTCTATCTTCCTTCCTCCCTCACTTACTTCCTGCCTCTCTCCTCCTCCTCCCTCACTCAGTTTCTCTCTTCCTCTTCTTCTTCTCTCACTCCCTGCCTCTGTCTCTCTCTGTCTTTCTTCCTCCCTCACTCACTGTCTCTCTCTCTATTCCTCTCTCACTTACTTGCTGCCTCTCCTCGCCCCCTCATTCACTGCAAATCTCGCTCTTCCTCCTTCCCCTCACTCCCTGCCCCCCCCCACCCCTTTTTTATCCCTCACACAGTCCCTGCTTCTCTCTCTCTCCCTCTCTCTCACAGTCACCATTTCCCTAAAGTTTCCTATGCCATAGAATTTTAGTTTAATATATCCAAGCATTGGTATTCCAAAATTGTAATACTGATATAATTATTATACACCGATTTTTTTTTTAATTCTGAGAATATATTTTTATAATAATGTTATGCACATTTTAAAATACATTTCCCATATTTATTAACTTGATATAAAATGATAAACAGTCAAATACTGGCACAAACCTTGCCGGATCCTGCTAAATGAAACAGAGAATTGGAACTGTACACGATGATACGTCTTGACACATTTCTCCAACCAATCACCTGAGAATATCACCGAATAGGTCAACATAAAATAGTAATGATGACCATACTGGTCAAAATTCTTGCTTGAGACAGAAACAATGATTTCCTCTTATTGTTTTTATCACTGAAAATTTTTAAGTGAAATTGACAGAAGCTATATGTGTGTGTGTGTGTGTGTGTCAGTCTGCGCACGCGTGTGTCTGTGCATGTGTGTGTATGCCTGAATGCATGCGCACATGTGGGTGTGTTATTGTTTTTAAAGAGGTTTCAATGGATTTTAATTACAAACAAAATATCTGGTAGTAGCTTGTAGTGTGTTTTAGCTTCCCCCCAAAAAGATTTCGGCAACCCTGGCTGGAACTGTGATTACCCAGTTACTTGATATATGCCCACCACCAAATTCATCTGTATTAATAACATTTATTTCACTATCTGGGATCCACAAACTATCGCTGGACTAAGAAATCAACATCAGGTAAGGCAGCAACAACAATGAATAGATATTTGAACAAAGAAGACACAAACAATAGACTGCACAATTTATTGCCTGGCATATTTCGCTGTATCTCGTCAGGTGCATACTACAGTAACAAAAATTCTGTTTACATGTGGCTGCAAAGTCGACTGGGTTCTGTTCTAAGGTGTAGAATAATGACTTGCTGTGGTCTGTCCATTATATGGTAATCGTCTTTTTAAACTTAAAAAAAAAAAGAATTTAACTAAAAAAAGACTACCAATATTACACAAAATTATGCAATGAAGTAGCATAAAATCATCATCATCATCATTAACCACTTCTGCCGTTAAGCGTTGTGGCAGTAGCATAAAATACAGTGTAAAATTCAATATAAAAACAGGAACTCACATCACAATCTAGAGCTTGTATGAGTCCGTCTAACCCGCCCTCTGCATCATCCATACTCTGGGACACATCCTCCAAGGCCTCTTTCATTTTATCCTGAGCACCAACAAATTTTCAGTTACATAAATGTCATTAGGATTATATAATTAGACAAAGAATATAATCCATATTTCACGAAGACAGTTAAAATAAAGAGACATTACAATTTTTTTTAAAGTATAAAGAGTTTTAAGTATAAAAAATGAAACAATTTAAAGAGAGAGAGAGAGAGAGAGAGAGAGAGAGAGAGAGAGAGAGAGAGAGAGAGAGAGAGAGAGAAAGAGAGAGAGAGAGAGAGAGAGAGAGAGAGAGAGAGATTAAGCAGATGTAAGGAAATGTATATGTATATTTTTATAACATAAAATGGAAATGATGTATCAACTCAAAACAGTATCCAACTTAACATATAGCTCTTTTTTAACTTCAATGCAATTCTGTTAATTCCTCAAGTTATATTTTCTTTTCAGTATTTAGTTGCTTAAATTCCTAAAATACATTTTTAACTCATCTGTGATGCAAAAAACATTTGAGAGTAAAGATCACAAGAAGCCTTGGATTTGGGTGAAATTTTCCTTCTAAATAGGACTGCATCTGCCTGAGAGGCAAGGAACTAGCAGTTTGACTAAAATTAGCCGGATCTAACTTCTGAGAAAAATCCCTAATTAATCACCAGTGGAGTGAAAGAAACACAATATGACATTAACACCAGTGGGTCTTTTTCCTTTCTACCCATAACAGGGCCCTGGAACCCACATGGAGAATCCTGACTGCTGTGATATCACTTCTTGAAACTCAACTCCATTAGGAAAAAAAGAAACAGGAGGAGGAAGAAAAGAAGGAGAAGAATCGCAATTAAAAATATGTGTGCCGTCTCCCCTGTGAAGGCTGGCTACTGTGCACCCACTGCCCTCTTTGGGAATATTACATGGTGAGGCCCCAAACTCTTCCATAGTGCCCCTCTCATATCACTGTCAGAAAACCATGACAGTCATTTAAAAAAATTAACTGGACCCTAGTACTGGAGGGGAACTGCCATGGTGTAGCGGCTAAATGCTCACCTGTGAATCTGAAGGCCGTGGGTTTAAATCTGAACGGAACCAGACTTCCTTTCAAAAAATGACCTTTTTCTCTCAGGTCAACCCAGCCTTGTATGGGAACCAGGTAAAGTTCTGGGAAGTAAAGGCAGCCTTATGATGACCAAATCCCAAACTGAGTGGCAGCTGGTCTATCAAATCTAGGTCTAGACCTATATGCCTGGAAAAGGGTCTTTTACTTACTAGTACTCAAGGATCTTGCAAGTGTTAAACACATTCACTAACCTCTAGGTCACTAAACTATCAGTAAGACAATTTTCCAAACTAAGATGAGTATATTCACTGAATCAAATCATGGAGAAAACTCTCAATTTCTCATAATGACATTTCAAAAGGATTCTTCAGTGTATGTTCCTTAATTTGTGGAGAAATTAACATATAGCAAAAAGTAGTTCTCACAGTGCTCGCATTATACTAATCAAAGATGTATACAAATAAAAGAAATGACTTACAGCAAAGTTTACACCATCATCTCCAAGATCAACATGATTTTTGAAGTCGTGTGGGGGCCGACAAGCTTTATTCAGAGGGCACCGGTTCCGCAACCTATCAGTTGACATATGAGAAAAAACAGTCTTTAATTTGTATTTCTTGCATACTTTTTCCTCTTAAGTCTCATCCCCCAGTGAAGCATAATCTCTCAACCCTCGGCCACTTATCCTTTTGTAGTTCCTTCCATGTCTTTCATATATTATTCATTTCCAACTCTAACTCACTTCTGTAAGTATCATATTTATGATAGGCCTCGGCAAAAGCCATCTAAGCATTTTGTACCAGAAATGCCTGAGTGCTTCACAGAGAGGTCCACTCTCGGAGAAATTGAAGCAGGATGCCGAGGTGACCATGCTGCAGGAGACCTGGAGTGCCAAGAGTACAACAACAGCGAATATCTGGGTCAGGCGATCCTAGTCATATGTGGGATAACATTCTTAGCTGCAGACACAAGTGCATGGGACAACAGCGACATTTACCCGACGGCTGTGAAGGCAGACACATAACATAACCCTTATCCTGCTAGGGTCTTGAAGGTGTATCGATGGCAGCACTAGCATACAGATCATCAAACTGCTGTTGGACATGTACACAGAAACACATGGGTCTGCTGCACTGGAGCAGCACTTTTTGAAAGAACAGTGTCGCTGTGATGCAGTACCTGGGCTTCGAAACCTCAGTGTGTCTTAAATGGCTTGAATTAATGATGCCCACAGCTGCCTTTTTTTCTCTCTTCAATGTGTACACAGTAGGAGTTACATTAAAGAGAAAGTATGTCTCGGCAGAACACTGCCATATACAGATGATATCATTGGGTACCAACAAGGAAAAACAGGCATGAAATTATAACAACGCTACAGCATGAAGTAAATTGACTCAGTGAATGATGTCAGGAATCAAAAGCACACGTAAACCCAGCAAAGGCCTCCTTGACTTGGTTCTTCTTAAATACTCACACAGTCAGTTCACAATTTTTCTTATCTTCTCTAGATCATGTTCTGCCTTTCAATGCCAGGTTTTGAAGAGGCATCTGGTACAACCTTTGGTGTATGCCTTGTAGATGCCGGTTTTCACTGCTTCAGATATCCATCTATCCACCATTGTGACCTCTAGCTCTGCCTCCATCTCGTCTAGGTGGCAGGGCTCTCTTTGGTGCACTGTTGTTGTAGTCTTGACATATGCCCGAACCATACAATCTGTTGTCTCTTGGTGTAGTTCGGCACTGGTTTCATCCCAGACTATTTCACAATAGTGTTTTTTTTTGTGTATCTTGTCTGTTCTTTTTACATTTAGGATTCATTATAGACATCATTTCTGTTGTTCTGTTTCTTTTTTCCATTTTTTTTTCACTGTTAACATCTATGATTGGAACTGGTAGCACAATGTTAGTACACTTACCGCACACAAATAGTCTTCTTCCCCGTTCAGGTTCTGAGGCCCCAGTGTGTGTGTGAGTATGTGGGTAGAAGGGGGAGAAGAATAGACCCACTGCCTCCTTAACAAGCATCCAGCAAAGGGTGAATAATTAGGGGACAAGACATGAAGCCAGCGACATTTAAATAAGGCCCATCTGACAAGACATGAAGCCAACGACATTTAAATAAGGCACATATGAAAAGACATGAAGCCAGCGACATTCAAATGGCACATCTGACAAGACATAAGGCCGGCCACAGTTAAATAAAGCACATCTGACAAGACATGAAGCCAGCGACATTTAAATAAAGCACATCTGACAAGACATGAAGCCAGCGACATTTAAATAAGGCACATCTGACAAGACATGAAGCCAGCGACATTTAAATAAGGCACATCTGACAAGACATGAAGCCAGCGACATTCAAATGGCACATCTGACAAGACATAAGGCCAGCCACATTTAAATAAAGCACATCTGACAAGACATGAAGCCAGCGACATTCAAATAAGGCACATCTGACAAGACATGAAGCCAGCAACATTTAAAAAAAAGCACATCTGACAAGACATGAAGCCAGCAACATTTAAATAAGGCACATCTGACAAGACATGAAGCCAGCAACATTTAAATAAGGCACATCTGACAAGACATGAAGCCAGTGACATTTAAATAAGGCACATCTGACAAGACATGAAGCCAGTGACATTTAAATAAGGCACATCTGACAAGACATGAAGTCAGCGACATTTTAATAAGGCACATCTGACAAGACATGAAGCCAGTGACATTTAAATAAGGCACATCTGACAAGACATGAAGCCAGCAACATTTAAATAAGGCACATCTGACAAGACATGAAGCCAGCAACATTTAAATAAGGCACATCTGACAAGACAAGAAGCCAGCTCTTACATTTCATCTGTCCATGCTGTGTACGGCATTAGAACTTTATCCACAAATGTTCCAAAGCCAAGTCTGAAGTTGTTAGTGATGTCTAACATGCTCCCAGCTAATCCAAAAACACAACAACAAAACATTTCATTATAAAAATAAGATGGTTTGGTTTCCAAAAACCCCTGTCATCATGTAATACAGGGGCCACACAGAGAAATAATGGGGGAGGGTGGCTCAGCATTTATAAGGTGGTGGGTGCCTCATGATTGGGGGGAGGGGGGGTGCATACATACACACACACACACATATATTTATAATATAATATATTTAATCCTCTATGGATCATGAAATGGGATGTCATCTCAAGGTCTCTTGGGTTTCCCCAAAACTTAGTTGTCAGGTTGACTGGGGGTGGCCACATATTGCTTTGCAGTTCCTCTAGGACAGGACAGAATTGTTCTAGAGTCTGTTCAGCAAGAAGACAATGATAGAGAGCTGTTTGACTCATACCTAATTTATGAATGTTTGTTTTGTCTGCAGTGTCCAAAATAAATTTAAGTTTTGTTGACCTTGTGTGACCTTGTGCTTAAAATGGTACCGAGAAGATAAGGACTATCCAGCACCTTAAAGAGAAGGTCGCTGCCATAATTACAACTGTAACCCTGGACATAATTCAGAAGATGTGCAGGAAATGAATACCACTCAGACATCATCAGAGCTACAAATAGGGCCCACATCAAAGTGTACTAAGGTAAGTATAAAACTAAACCTTTCTAAACATGTTAAGATGCCAAACATGTACATCCATTAAATACTTTTTATACAATAAAAGTCTAAACTCCATTTAAAATTAAACTATTGTATCTGAACCTCAGATCATTATAGGTAAAGTCAGTGTACTGGATAGAATACACTAAAAATCCATGTTCTATGGGCTAACAGGAAAATCAGTAAAAGTTCCTTGCATATTTTTTACAGAAAGTTGCATTTCTTGGGTTGTTTGTGATTTCACAAGGCAATTTTACCATGAGTAGTTTGCCACTGTTTCTGAAAGGTCGACTCTCAAAAGCACTGTTGAAACCAATGCAAGGTTATCTACTTACAAATCACCCACAACTTGGATCTAACCTGACACTTCAGACTTATGAAGCGTGTTCACAATACCTGGCCACAGACGCTGTCATTAAATGAACTGTAAAATAACAAAGCTTGTTTGCTGGGACACCTATATACCTTCAAAATGTTAGGCACTTTTTTTTAAAACATATATTAAGATGTTTTTTTTTTTAAAACAGACAGAACCACGCGATAGAGGTCTCAACTCTCCACAGCTTTCTGTACATACACTGCCAGTTATTTATTTTACAAATTTTCCTTCATGTTAAGATGATAAACTGTCTAACATCCTTGGTCTCTCCCTGCTACTTTTCCCCTTCCACCTGCTGTGACGATGGGCTCCAGTTTTCTCCTTCTCATGATGTGCACCCAGAATATGGATTATCTTATAATGTGGGTAACCAATTCAACAATTAGGGGGCGATAAAAACAGAATTGTCTGCATTACTTACGAATATCCCGCCCAAGTTCAATCAGACGTTGCTGAGCTTCTTTTTGTCGAACCATTCCATAGCTCAGATCCAACAAAAAGTACAGGTCTACTGGGTAATTCTCTTCCTGTTTGAATTTCAGTTTAAAACTGACAGGCTCATCTGGAAACAAGGAGACATGATGAAACCTGAATCTTCAACGATTTTATTGTACACTAATAATCTATGACGCTAAACGGCTAACTATACAATCAATTTCCTCACGTTACTGCCAGCAGGTCAATCTGCTCATTCATTCCCTCTTACCAAACCAAAAAGAGTGTTCTGTTAAATGAGGAGGTCAGTCTCACCACCAACCCCTTTCAACTGCCTCCTCTGCATGGTATGTAACACAGCATCCTTACCTACACAGGACTGGTGCAGCCAAAAGGGTGCCATAATTATAACTTCCTTTGAGGTTGAACTGGGTATCTTGGATCTGCCTTGTTGGTTTGCTGTCCAGACTGAGATTTGTTGATCTCAGGATGGAATGGTGAACCATTAGGTTGCAGACTGGAGGGGACAAATCGATCATTACAGTCAATAACTGTTGCATCACCCAGCAGCACTGATAATGCATAGGCAAGATGGTCATTTAGTAATCCAGATCATTTACTGATAATTGCTGAAGAAAACAATGATGTCATTTATGAGTCCCAAAGTGGGACAATGGGGACTAATTGGACCAATCTAATACTTGAAAAAAATATAAAAATATTTTATTCAACAATACATCACCATCATCATCATGTGCCATGCCAATAAGTGTAGGCCAGTGTTTCCCAAACGTTTCTTGGTCGCAGCGCTATTTTTTCATTTAAAAAATTTCCACAGCGCCCTAACCCAAGTAAAAGCATGACTATTCATGTCTTGGTTAAATTTATTATGAAGCTTTTACAGTATTTCGCGGCGCCCCTGTGAAGAGGTTGCGGCTCCGAGGGGCGCCACGGCGCACAGTTTGGGAACCACTAGTGTAGACTGTCATGCTTCTTTATCCCACACGATCACCAGAATCATGGATCAGGTCAGTTTGCCTCACTCCATCTATTTAGCCAAGCCATATGGGTATTTATCATCTTGCCTTCCCCTTCCTCTTTCTTTCATCAATCTTGCCAGTCATTACCAATTCTTGAATTTCTACTTTCTCACAACGTGTTTGAAAAACCCTGACTGCATCTAAAGTTAAAAGTTAAAGTCAGGAGGATCAACTTCATTGCACCGGATTTTACCCCATATGGCTCAGTCTTTCTCCACTGAATGGCAAGCCACCTGCCGATAGCACCGCACAGAATACAAACTCTGCAGCTCCGGCAACAATCCAGAGGGATCTCTGGAAAAGCTGCACTTATGAACTGAAGGGCTCAGCAGTGAAACGAACCCATGACCTTCAGAGCACGAGGCAACCGCTTAAACCATTTTGCTCTTATCGGTTTATGGTTTTTATCTGTTTCAAGGAGGACTGCCTCGTCTTTTATTTTGATGACAGCCATTTAACAAATAGATGATTCAGGCTATTTATTACAATTCAACTCAATATGAAACTTACTAGGCCTGAGTTTTAACTCCAACTCCTGGGGTTTGACCTGCACAGGTGGAGCTGATAACCCACCACTGGTCCATGCATCATCCTGTAATTTCAAGAAATCAGTTTAAAATTCTTTTTCTTCTTCTTAGCGTTCACCAGCTGTAAACCCCAATGGAAAGTTCTGGTTGTTTGTCCACACAGAAGTTGAGTTTTGCAAGAGCATCTGTTTTACAGATCTGGCTTATTTATATGCAGACTGAAGGTTACATTGCCCCTCAGGAAGATGCACTTCAATTTTGAAGGAAACTGCCCTAGCTTGTTTGGGGGTGTCGCAGTGGGTCTATTCTTTTCCTCACCCCCACCCCCCCTAATAATGGAACCAACACATGGAAGTTTAAAATTTAAATGAAGCTTATGATGAGGCTTTGACCGTCTCTTTTGTTGGCCACTTTCCATCTGTCCAGACAACAGTGTTATGCTGTGCAATATGGATGCTTTGTAAATGGGGTTTTGCAGAAGAATTCTTGGAATTTCTTGAATAATTTTTTTTTTCAAATTAAAAAAAAATAAAAAGTAGAGCAGTCCTGATATTTTGAAAGAGGTAAGGGCTCAACGACAACTTATTACAAACATCAGATAGAGAAGGTCTCATTTTTTGGTCATATTATAAGAAGAAGGAAACTGGAACATTGTGTGACCACTAGAAAGATCTGTGGAAAAAGAGGCAGAGGAAGATAATGCAACTTGCCCATGGAGCATGATCCCTCTCTTCTTCTGCCTTGTTCTCCTAAGGGAAGGTTCTAGAACAAAACCTCTGCTGGATCAGAAAAATCTCATTATTTTTGAGAAACGGCCATTAAAACTATTAAGATTCAAACCCTAATTATTCGCAGATATCTCAAATTTACAACATCTGGTAATGTTTCTGTAGAAAACAAGAGGAAATCACTGCATTAGTTTTCCATGACAATGAAAAAAACCACAATATTACACTCATATATCTTTTAAGGGGCAAAACTCGATTTTTGCCCTGGTGACCTAGCCAAACAAAACAAAACAAAGTTATTACCCATATTTCAGGAATTACTGAATAACAAAAATACTTTTTAAAAAACCCACCATTTCAAACAGGTCACGCAAAAATCCTAATAATTCAATTTATTGATCAAAACAATAATAATGTCCATAGAGAAGTAATCAGTAAACATGAATGGAGCTGAGAATTTACTCACAGAGCTGCTTACTGCCTTACAGGCTATTGCTCGTTGGCAGCTCCATGACAATGTTTCTATCTCGAACACAACTAATCCAACACCGTCACAGAACACACCTCCGCCTTTAATGCACTTTAAAATAGTAGGTAGTTTGCCCCAGACGTGGCTCAAGTTATAACCCTACCCCAACCATCTGGAGTGCTTTAAAATCCGCACTCACACACTGGCCTTACAGTTGCTTCCAGGTGTTAACCAGATCCAAACCAACAGCCTCTGATCCAAGCTCTTTCCTGCACCTCTGCAAGCTACACCATGACCTCTGTACTACTGCACAACTCTGGATAGTTTGATCGGATAGACCACATCACTGCGCCAAGTAACCTGAGTACCATGCCCATGACATCATTCTCTTCTTATTTGCTGACAAAAAACCCATTTGCGAAGCACCTCGCTAAGGCACAGATTACTTAACAGGTGAACAGTACTTCATACAAACATTACTAATCCCACTGGACTATCTCTACAGAACTCACGCACTATCACAAACTAAACATTTTATCCTTAACCATCGCTACGTCTCTAAATTCAATCAACTATGAAAGCCCTATTCGTAAAAACACAACATGTTTTGGTCCAGTCTGGGTGTTTGTGAAACTCTCCATAAGCCATTTACTCTGTCAGTTTTGTCTAGTCAGCTGCTTACCATGGAGTCAGTGAAACCCTTGTGGATCCTGGAGTCTTTATCCGTCCATCACATAGCCCTTGTTGGAGCCTCTGTGGGCTGCTGAACGCATAGTCTCTAAGCAGTCAGCTAAGTGCTAGTCCGTCAGTCACTATCATCACCTACAGTCGTTCTATAGCCAAACAGGCCCCTGACATACAGTGACCCATACTTTACACCCAAACCAGGTCCCCCAGTAAACATTAGTAGTAATGGAAAATTATGTCTTCATTTCTATTTTTAAAAAGCCATTTGCTCACAAGACCCCTAACTTTTAGTAATTATAATAAATTTGTCCTCATAAATGATTACTCGGGCGCAAATGATACCAGTGATGTCAGCTTTGCTTCCTGTGAACAAGCCCTTACAGCATTTACAGGAGTGTGGTAAAAACGAGGCGTGTGGTAAAAATGAGCAGTGTCAGTTTTGTAACTTTTTGGGTTCACAAGATTAAGTGACATCTACATATAGGTATTGCCTTATATGCCCAGTAGGCCTGAAGACACTGGAAAAAAGGGTCTTTAAGTTTACAAGACATGCTACCAACAACAACAAAAACATGCCAATTACTGCCTTTATTTTACCACTTTTGCAGTATAGGCAGAAGAGGGGGTCTTTGAGCCTGAGAATTGATGGCTGCATTTCTAGTGCTGTTACCACGACTGTGCAGGTGGAGATTTTATTTTAAGACATGCTACACAGCAGTAAAATGCTTTATTAAACAGATGAACTAATTTTTGACTTCAATTTACCAACTTCTACTTACTCTTTTAACTGTGATTTCTGACTTGGGATTTGAAATGTCATTTTTTGGACATCTTCTTTCCAAGTTCCTTAAAATGTCACATCTTGCTTCTCCTCTTGGAAAATTCTGGGGGAAAAAGTTTTACTGTTCATACTGATCAGATTCAAATCATGTCAACCATATTTACATTGATGGCTTTTAAAAATACAAGATGTGCAGCAAAAATGATACCACAGAGGAAATCTTCTTGATTTAGGTTAGTTGCGTATCCTTTACAGGACGTTGCAGAACCAACCCCAACAACCCCTAGCAGTTGTGTGGTTTTTCTAGGCAAATTTACATCCAGTAGTTTGTCATTGCTTTCTGGACGGTCGGCTCTCTTGATACCACTGTCGAAACCAATGCAAGGCGCATAGCCAGCAGCTGGGATCGAACCCGGCATCCCGGCATTACGAAGCGTTCACATCAACTTAGCCACAGAGCTGACTCTTCTTGAGTAAACTTATTTAAAAACAACAAGAAACTCAGTACTAATTATGTAGTGCCAGCACATGAGGGAATTGAAGAAAATGAAATGGCCGACAGAGAAGGAAACAAAAGGCTGATCAAATAATAATGAAATGCATGTAATCATAAGTAAGGATTACTTTAAATCAGTAAGCAAACAGGAAAAACTGAGGAACAGACAGGAATATGAAATGGAAGCTTAAGGGGGAAGACATGTCTGCAAACTGTTTAAAGCTTCAACTAGAAAATATCAAATAACAACTAAAAAAAACTTGCAATAAGAAAGTGCTAAATTTGCAGCTTGGGTGGCTTATTTCACTACAGCAGAATACATCTGTCCTGAATATCAGATACATAATAATATTAAACATTATTTACTATACTGCAACAAATCCCTTAATGAATATATGATCCACTGTAACAGGTCTATGACAATAGAAAATATGGAGTGGAGGTCTCTAGAGAACTACAGTATATGTAACATAACAAAATGTGATTAAAATGAGGTGGCTAACAGATTCTGCAAAAAGTAAAACAGAAAGTATGGAAAAACTTTTTGGCCAGAATGTCGTCGTAATCTGTAATTAAAAGCTTGTGTTATCATATTAAAAAGATTTTAAACAACAGATGTAAAAACTGCTCATGAAAACAAAAAATTTTGAATCACAAGAACATGGGTTAGCACAACAGGTTTTAATATATCTTAAGACAGAATAATGGTATCTCAAATCACTTTAAATATCCAGAAAAGGCAGACTGCACAATATAATTACTATAATTGTTTGAAAGTACACTTGAAATATTTTAAATTTGACAATCTATACCCCTGAAGTCTTATACAGTTAATACACAAGCTATGCAATGCTAAATAACCAAACATAACTCCTAGACTTAAATATCCATTATTGAAGCTTTGCACATTATTTTGGGATGTACAAGAGATATTTCCTGTGTAGCAATGAGATATCTACTTGACTTTCTGACCATGATGAGCCCAAGGATCAGGAGTATGCACTGATAAGAAACACCGACTGCATCATGTGCTTTTCAGTGAAAAGGGTGACAGGCCGAAGAGGAGAAAATCATGGCTAGGTCGGGCAGAAGATGTTATTTAGCAAATATGCGGCCTAACCGACATCACCCCTGGTGCAGAGTGGATACCCATGCCTCATGCGTTTATTTCTACATTTGCCTGTATTGCCACACTTGACAGGCGATGCAGGGAGCAGAGTTTGGTTGCTGTCAATGCAGAGGTCAACGTTCTCATCAGTGAAAATTCAGACTAGGCAGATGTACTGAACTACACAGACTGATCCGTTATATGCCAACAAAAAAGCCAAATATCCCTTTCACATTTGTCTGGATTTGTACTGTTAGTTTGCATTTTTCTCTCCATGGGGTTTGCTCTGGAATACTTTTAAGTGGACAACCAATTTCTGGAAGGTCAGTAGTTTGTCTACATATTCTTTTTGCTTGGTGTATAAAGCTGCTTCTTTTTAACCATCCCAAGGCTAGGTTCTGACATCTATTTTTCTTTGGGTGATCTGGCATACTGAGGAACTTTTCAGCTTTATTTGCAACTTTGTAACTCTGCGTTCTCTCAGTGCTTGTGTTTTCCCAGCTTTCTCCATTTCTAATATGGGGGTTGATTTCATCCTTCCTGTGATGACTCTAAGCGCTTGATTTTGCACTTTGTCTAACTCCTTTAATGTGGTACTGGATGCTGAACACCATGCAGTTGACCCATATTCTAAATGTGGTTGTATGCTCTGCTTGTATACTTTACTGAGTATTTTCCCACTGGCTCCCCTTGTGGTTCCACTTAGTTTTCTTAGTATGGCTGTCTTCCTCCTGGCTTTGGTTGCTGCCTTGTTGATATGTTTTCTACATGTCAACCTGTCATCAAATGTGACTCCGAAGTATGTGGGCTCTTTATCATCTCCGTTTATTTTGATGAAGCAGGCTTTTTACTTTGGGGAGAGAGTGAACAGTGTGGTGCTACATTTGTCTGTGTTGATGCTGACACACCATCTATTCGCCTATGCCTCAAGTGCATATGTAGCCCGCTGTAGTGTTCTTATGGCTCTTGTTGCATGTTCATAGGTGCACCACAGTACCAGGTCGTCGGCATACATTGCCATTTTGATTCCATATGGTATCTCAGCAACCAGATCGTTGATAATAAGAGAAAAAGTGTGGGCAACAGGACACCACCTTGAGGGACGCCTTGTCACAGTAGAACTTTTTTTACTTTTGAAACCATCTACCTGTACCCGGGCTCTTCTGTTATGTAGATATGCTTTAATCCAATTGTACATTCTTCCATCCCCTCCACATTCCAGTGCATTATTCTGACTCATTCCTTAGCTCAGCCAGATGCTCTATTCTCATGTCCCCTGGCTCCACAGGACATTTGAGAAGGAGCTCCAGTAATTTGGGTTAGGCCTCTTCGAGGCAGAGGGCCCAGCACTGCTCCTGCCTGAAAGTCCATCACAGGACGAGCACCATATCGTTTTGCTGAAACAGACATATTTCCAGGGTGTGTGCATAGCATCCTGATTGCTATGGTGTGCCTCCTGGCTGGTTGCCTCCGACTTCAGCACATTGTTTTTCTAGGGTAGACTGTGATCATACTCGAGGAGAGTAGGCTCATCCATTCGTCTTTCGCCTTTACCTCATTTGTTGTCCCATCCAGTTTCCCGCTGGGGGTTGAGACCCCAACCTTCAACTGGACTGCTGAAAAGAACAGGGTCCACCACTAAAAGGTGAGATAGGCTTGAGCAAGAGAGGCTAATAGACATTAAGAGTCTTGTATTGCGCATCATTGCTCCATTAGGACAGCCATGAATTTGTAACAGCATCTCACATCCATGAATGAAGAATGTAAATCAAATAACATAAGAATCAATATTGAAAAGACAGAAGTAATGTCAATAGGAAGAAAGAAGCAGGATTTAAACAGCATTAGAGCACACATACATTAGACAGGCATCTGAGTTTAAATATCTTGGAACAGCATTCACTGAAGATGGTAAATTGGATGAAGAAACTGACATCCGATGCAGTAAAGCAGGCCAAGTAATGGGACAGCTAGCCCCCTCTTATAGCATAAGGCAATCCCAATCAGCACAAAGAAACATGTCATACGGCACATTTATCCCCCCCCCCCCCCCAATGCTACCAGTGCTAGACATGGTCACTCACAATAAAACATAAAAGAAAATTAGTAACCATGGAAATGAGGTGTCTGAGAGTTGTGGGGGTTCATAAGAATGAAAAAGAAAAGCAACAGAACCCTATCATGCATACTACATGAGTTATGAGGAAGAAGAAGACAATTAACAGTACCCTGTCATTGTATACTGCACGAGTTAGGGGTTGATATGGAAGAACAAGAAAAGTAACAGTACCCTGTCATACATGCTGCATTAGTTATGGGGGTTCATAAGGAAGAAGCAAAAAGGTAACAGTACCCTATCATGCATGTTGCAAGAGACAACTATGAAAGGTTAACATCACACTGGCTATCTCATCTTTGGCCAACAAATCAAGAACAAGCTCACTGTGTGGGATCTGGTATCCTATTTTGAGGGAAAACTTGAACAGATCCACTACCCCTAAATAAGCAAGTCATAAAGGCAGACTCATTAAGGATTTGCTAAAATTTGGTATACTGGACCAAAAGGTGTTGATATTGCAGCCCAGCTGTAAATCACAACACAATGTGCTACACTCTTTTAAGGGTGAAGGCAGATGATAAAAATGATGAACAAAAATGATTTAATTCAAGAACCAACATCACAGCACTCAGGGCATTCCCATAAGTGCTCTGTTCCTATCTTTAGCAGCCAGCAAAGAGTTCCGATACTAATGGTGCCAGTAGCATTCTGATTAAACGTCTGTCTTGCCTTTCCTCTGAGCCTCGAGCATCTGCCAGAAGCTCTCATCACTCCCCGCTGCATCAATCTCACCAGACTGTGGTGATCCATCTGCTCCTCCGAACTGTACACACTCTCCCACAAGGCACTAACCACGTCTGCCTTATCAGTATTCCAACAAGTTGTGCAGGAGCCAGCCAGTCTGTCCGTCTGTTCATTTCCCAACACACCAGCGTCACCCGGTGAAAAAAATCCAGACAATACTCCTTACCCGTGTCATCCGCAGCGAAGCATGCTACTCTGCACAAAGCAAACCTGTTCTGATCTTCCTCAGCATGCTTTCTGAGTCAGTTACAATCACCATGTGTGTGTGTGTTGTGTTCTCTAGCCAGCGGAAAGCTGCATTGACCGCCTCCACCTCCATTCTTAAGCTGGATGTTGTGGTATCATACGATAGGCTCTCCTGCACCAAACGTCGACCATTAATTTTTGTTAAGAAGTCTCAAGCACTTCTTTTGCCTCTTGACACTGAACCGTCTGAGTGAATGATCAAATCCTCTGAGCGAGCATTATCTTGAATTAATTGCAGAATTTCCACCTCCGTGGCACCTGCTGATCAGTCTCTGCATTCCCGGCTCAGCGTGATTATGTTTCTACACAAGTCTGACTGTTCAGGTGGCACCTTGACCCACTCCTCTCCTCGCCTAATGTTCTCAAGAATGCAAACCTGTCTAATTGTGTCTTCTGCCTGAGCCATCAATGACCTCCCTCTTATCAGCTGCTGGCCCTTAACTGCACCCAGAGCTTCATGCAGAGGGCGGTCTGTGTCTGCAGCTACCCTGAGATATGACTTCGTCTGCAGCACCTTGTGCATACCTGCAACCGTCGACAAACCAAGGATGTATCGCATACACACCACTGGGGTGTCTCTGGTGCAACCCAGAAAGACCCGCATAGCCGTGTTCTGTATGCGCTCTAGTTTGTCTATCTGACTCTTTGAGACGGTAAGCAGTCCCAGGTCATAATCAACCACTGACAGGATCAGGTGCTGATATAGTATGAAAAGCATTCTCTGCTCTATGTCAATTGCAGCCATAGCCTTAAGTGCACTAAGTCCTTTTTGGCATCTCGTCACAACACTCTCCATGGTCCTTAAATGACAGGCTCCTGTCAAATGTAATTCCCAGATACTTCAGTTTGATCTCTCTGTTGATGTTTCTACCATCTATCGTGAGACTTGGGACATTAGCTTTAACGATTCTGTTGTCCACAAAACAGACGCCTTTTCCAGGTGGACGACAGCCCTCATTGCTGTACACCACTCAGTCACTTTGTCTACTGTCGCTTGTAGCTCCCGAGCTGTTTGTTCCCTCTCTTCCCCCCTGCCTATATGCAAGTATATCATCTGCAAAAGTCAGTATCCTTCCAACTCCTGGTGCTTCTAGGCTTGCAATCTTGCTCGTAAACACGTTAAAGAGCACAGGCGAGATGGCAGATCCCTGTGGCAGTCCTGGGGCCAAAGTGCATGGTTCTGAGGTCATGAGCCCAGTCGGAGAGCAACCCAACATGAATACAGGACAGCTGTAACCCAATTCGCCAGCCATGGACTGACCTCCTTCTCCTTCAGTGCAGTCAGTAACATGTCATATCTTACTCTGTTATAAGCATCCTCGAGATCCAGTCCTACTGCCATAGTTTCCTGTCTGTTCTGGAACCCTTCATAGACGTCAAAAGCAAAAGTGGCTACAAAAAAAGGTTTACGTGAGCCAGTTAAAGCAGCGGTTCTAATCCTGTTGGGCACAACCTCTGTGTGGGTCAAATGACTCTTTCACAGTGGTCACCTAAGTCCACAAAAAAACTTCGCTGAAGTTATGAAGTAGCAAAGAAAATAATTTTATGTTTGGGGGTCACCACAACATGATGAACTGTATTAAAGGGTGGCGGCATTAGGAAGGCTGAGAACCACTGAGTCAAGGGCTTATACTGTATATGCAGTTTTGAGGAGAAGGAGAAAAAGACTACCAAAAAAATAAGAAACTTGGTTACCTCACTTCCACACCAGGCACACATGGGAGACAATCGGATACATTCTTTACAGGTTGTAGCTGTGCTGCAAAGTTCAGTGTACTCATCATCTGTAAAGTCAAATATCATGAATTGAAAACATTACATACATACTTTATACAAGAGGGTTTATTTTTCAAAAAACTGTACAGTATGGCAGCTGTGGTAGTTCAGTTCTTGGTTTTCTTCTGCTCGTTCTTAACATAATCAGTCCAAAAAATCTTAAAATATGATCTCCCCCCTCCCCCCAAATTTCATCTTTTTTTTAAAGCATCCTTATTATTCTCTGAAACTTTTAGAAATGACTGGAAGAGAAGAAGAAGAAGAAGAAGAAGAAGAAGAAGAAGAAGAAGAAGAAGAAGAAGAAGAAGAAGAAGAAGAAAAGAAGAAGAAGAAGAAGAAGAAGAAGAAGAAGAAGAAGAAGAAGAAGAAGAAGAAGAAGAAGAAGAAGAAGAAGAAGAAGAAAAAGAAAAAGAAGAAGAAATTTAAAGTCTCTGTCAGTGTTTATAAAAGTCCAGGGAGTCGAACCCCTAGACCACTGAGAAGTCAGGTGAACATGAAGGCCACTGCTTCACTGCAGCCATCAAGTCGCTAAAAATAATGATCTGTCATTTATTTTTCAATCATCATAATTCACAAATACAAGAATTAGGAAAGCACAGAACTGGAGCCTTGACAATGAAATATATATCAATTTTTATTAACTGCTGTGTGGGTTTCACAGCCTGTTTTTTGGAGAAAATAAAACAGATGCACTGCCTCCTAACAAGTATGTATAGCCAACGTCTGCTGCATGTTCACTGGCTGTAAACTCAGACAGAAAGTTCTGGTTGTTCATCCACCTCTGGAGTCTTGATCCAGAACCTACATCAATTTTACAGATCTGGTTTATTTCTATGCAGACTGTTGGTTTGACACTTCTCGGGCAGATGCAATCCGAATTCAAAGGAAACATCCCTAATTAGTAGACTCTTACAACATGCTTTTAGGGGGCAGTGGGCCTATTCCTTTTTCTTCCAACAATGGGGCCCCAGAACCCCCATGGAGGAAAAGCTGACTAATTAGGGGTGTTTCCTACAAAGTCAGAGTGCACCTGCCTGAGAGTTGAAGAACCAACAGTCTGCATATAAGTACATCACATATTCTTTGAAACTACTAAGAAATGTATGGTGAGTTGTATGGTACTGAAAGCGCTATAGTATAGTAATGGAGCGATGTACACTGACCAACACTGACAAGCATTCTAAACCAGTGGTGTGCAACTTTTTTCAGGTCGCGCCCCATCGGGTACATTGCAAGACCCCACCCCGGGTATATGGCAAGGCCCTCAGGCCCCTTTTGGTATATGGCAAAACCACCCCACCTCTGCCCCCATAGTATATTACAAGACCCTCACGTCCCTCCCCCTCTTTTTGTCTGAGTACGAACAAACGAACAAACAAACTTTATTTTTGAAGGGTTACAAAATAAAGTTTGTTCAAGAACAACAACCCCCTTATCCTCAACACAACAAAATGTGATTAAAAAGATGAGGGTAACAGATTCTGCAAAAAGTGAAACAGAAAATATGGAGAAACTTTTTGGTCAGAATGTCTTCCTAATCTGTAATTAAATGTGTGTGTTATCATATTAAATAGATTTTAAACAACAGATGTTAAAAACTGCTTATGAATACCAAAAATGTCGTTGAATTTTTGTTTTATAAATAGTTTTAAAATATTTTTACTTATAATTAAACTAAAACAAAATGTAAGTATAATTGATTATTACAGGTACAAATGCATTCTCTTTCAAAATTTCGTTAAAGCTTCCCCCCCCCCCCCCCTCCCCCCCACTGCCAGGTTGCAGACCACTGTTCTAGACTGCAAAACTAGACATTACCTGTAAAACAAGACATTACCTATTTGTGAGATAACTCCAGCTAGCAGGACAGCAACATATACCAAACACACCGTATACATGGTAATCACTCCAAGAAATTCTGTAACAATTTTAAACAGAAAACAATTTTCAATGTTTAACATCACCTTATTGCATATTTCATATTACAGGAAAACAGTTGTTCAGGTCTCTGGCCTTCTAGTATATTCCGTGTTGCTAGATGGTTCTAGGTTTGAATCCATATCAAGATGGTGACAGATTCTTCGTTTTCTTGTTCATCTTTTTTTCTGCTTCTTTTTCTTCTGCATTTGCATTCAAAAAGTGACTGGCTCATTGTGTTGTGGTTCACAGCTAGGCTGTGATATCTGCAACTTTCAATTCAACACATCTCATTTCAGCAAACTGCTTGCGAAGGGGCAGTGACTTTATTTCCCCTTCCCCCCCCCCCTTCCCCCCCACTGGAACCTACAAGAGGAAAGGCAGATGATTTTTATAAGGGCCTCCAGGTCAAGCCAGCCTAAAATGGGTACCAGAAAGTGAAGATGGCTGCCATGATGTTGACCACATAGTGTTGATCGGTCTATGAAACTATGGGTTTTAGCATCATATGCCCAATTTGTTAATAGTAAGGACAGTTCTTATATTTTCTACATTACAGGGAAACATTTGCCTAGCTCTTTTAACCTCCAGCATCTTATGGAACTGGGTCTGCTGTTCCAATATGAGGTCTACTTTTATGACCAGACTGTATGCTGTTGGAAACTGCAGGTTTTCTTCTTCTTCTAGTATTCATCGGATGTAAACGGAAAGTTCTGGTTGCTCATCTACTTTGGTCCTGTTCCACAACTTCAGTTTTGCGTACACATCCATTTAAAGATCTAGTTTATCTGTCTGCAGACTATTAATTCCTTGTCTCTCACACAGAGGCACTCCGACTTCAAAGGATACATTCCTAATTGGTCATACTGAACAGTATGCTTGTTAGGGGGGCAGTGGTTCTATCCACCCCCACCCCCCCCCCCCCCCAATTGAGGGCCCAAAACCCACAAATGGAGAAACTGCAGGTGGAACAGGGTCTTAGCTTTGGTTTGCTGACCCGATGCAAACAATCCAGCTGTGAATTAGTTCATAAGTTTTTCTTTCTTTGCCAAAGTAATGTCACTGGTTAGACACCGCAGTCTGAATCTGAGTTAGATGCGGCAGTCTGAATGAACCCCAGTGTGGTTACTATCCTAATGGCTGCAAGGAAATTTCTTGGGAAGTAAAGGTGATCGGCGTGATGTTGACCATATCACTCACCACTGGTTGATTCTGTAAGAGTCCTTATATAAGAATATGAGTCCTGTATCAAATACCCGAAGCACCACTTTACTTTTAAACAATACTAAGCAGAACAATGGTGTGCCTGATTCAAGTGACAGGCTTGTCCTGTGTAAACAGGTTCCCATATGGGAAACTAGACGGCATGCGAAATGACGCGCTACACACTACAATAGATAACGTACACCGGTCTTGCGTTCACTAAGGACTACAGGAAATAGGGAGTTTTCGCGTGGTATTAATGGCAACTGCCAAGCAGGGAATGTTGTTCATATTACACCGACTACAGACAATGAATGGGGTGGGCCTTCTAAGCGATAGGGCTTTAAGGCTTGTTTTTAGTTTCTTCTTCTTCATGTTCACCGGCTGTAAACTCTGGAGGAAAGTTCTGCTTGTTCGTCCATTTCTGGACTTTGGTCTCATTCCAGAATGTGAGTTTTGCGTGCACGTTCATTTTACAAATGGTTATTTCAAAGATACTATAATGTTCTTGCTACCTCCTATTAGGGCCATTTGTTTTTATTTGATCCCTTGTATGTTTTCTGTGCGTTCACCAGCTGTGAACTCTTGTGGAAAGTTCTGGTTGTTCGTCCACTTCTGTTCCAAAATTTGAGTGTTGCGTGTGCATTCGTTTGAGAGATCTGCCATATTTGTGTGCAGATTGTTGGTTCCTTGCCTCTCGGGCAGATGCACTATGACTTCGAAGGAAGCTCCCAATCAGACTACTCTTACGACATGCTTTTGGGTAGGCAGTGGGTCTATTCTTGTTTTCCCTATAACAGGGTCCGGGAACCCACACGGGGGTACCCCTTGTATTTGAATTATTATCTGAAATAAATCCATGCCACTGGAGGTTAGGAAAAGAATGATTGCAAGCCATATGGAGCCAGTTTTAACATGCGGCTGTGAATACTGGACGATTAATAAACAGGCCGAAGAAAAATGTGTAGGCTGACTGACTGACTTTCTACCCCACCAGGACATCACACAAGCGATAAACACCCGATGACACAAAGTGCCACCATGTGGATGAGGATCACCGTGGAGAGCTCCCAGAAACCGCGTTCAGACAATTGGCCATATTTATGGCCTGCCTATATTGCGGCCCCTGGCAAAAGCCAGGGTGGGGCTTCAAATAACAAAACAAAAAAATACGTCCTAAAAAGAACGCAGATTGACTAAAATGTGTAGGCCTCGAAGATGTGGTTTTAGAGAAGAATCCTTAGAATTCATTGGACAGCTAAACAGAGCAACCCAGATGTTCTGAGAGAGGCGAGGGCTCGAAGACAACGTATCACAAACATCAGAAAGAGACAGTCGTAATGTGTTGTTCATGTTGCGAGAAGAGGGAAAATGGCACATGTTGGGACCACAGGAAATATCTGTGGAAACCGAGACAGAGGAAGACAGCAGGAGAACATTCTGGACAGCCTTTTGCCATGGCACTCATGGCATGGAGGGGTGTCAATGCACATCGCAGATTGTGGAGAGTCATGATCGCACATGCCTGTGTGCAAGGTACTTGATTATGATGATCTGAATCACGGCCTTTTCTATTTATATACAGAAGGACCTGATCTGAATTATTAGCTTCACTACCACTATCCCACAGTGTCTCTGTTGAACTCTTTCAGGGCTTCGTATTTATTGCTTTTATGCTCAAATCCTTGGGATAGAAGCGGTTGCAGAAATAACTGCTTGTGACTATGTAGCGCCCTTTGGATATTTTCTCCAGGGTATTCCGGTTTTTGGGGAAATAAACAGACAGATATACTGGCTGGTTCTGCAAAACTTGGTGGTATACTGATGCAAGACAAGCCAGATGTTGTAAAGTCCTATGGGAGCGAGTGAATAGTGCGGAGGCACAAACAGATCATTACGGCTTGGGAAGAATGGCGCCGCGAGAAGTGACTAGGGGAACTGGCATATACAGCCTGTTCCTGATATCATCGGAATTAGAAATCTGCGCTTACTGTTAAAGATGGGAACGGAGCGCTTATGGAAATGCCCCGAGTGTTGTGATGTCGATTCTAGATTCAATATTTAACTTTTGAAAGAGTTCAGGAGCAGCGGGTCTACCCCCTCCCTCTCCCCCACAAAGCCGAAACGGGGCATCGAAACCACAAAGGAAGGTCTTGGTTCCTATTGGAGCAGAAAAGGAACTAATCACCGCAGCTAATATGCTGTGGCGTAGAATATGTGAAGGACTAACACACGACACATACAAAGGCAGTATATGTTAGGGCACCTCTACGTTTTATGCTACACCCCAACCCCACACTGGAACGCAGGTTATTTCGTTACCTCGGACATGTAGGTAGTCTGTCTCCTTCAGGAACTTCAGCCCGCAGGATTCACACCTCAAGAATGAGAATGTTGTCGCTACTACTGTTCTATATTCACCATAATTCTGAGGGCAGTGTAGACAGGGAGGTCCTGAGCCTGGGTATTTAGAAGGGGGAGGGGCATGGATGGTGCTGTCGCCACAGACTGTGTAACTGGAGTGTTGCCCAATATTGCCCCCCCCCCAGCACGTCGTAAGAATAGACTAACTAGAGGTGTTTCCTTCGAAGTGGGAGTGCATCTGCTTGAAAGGCAAGAAACCAACAGTCTGCATACACATTAGCCAGATGTATGCGCGAGAAGCTCAAGTTTTGGAACAAGAACATAGTCCAGAAGTGGAATGAAAGAACCAGCGAATAAATAACCAGAACTTTTCGCGGAGTTTACAACCAGTAAACTAAACGCTAACAAGAAGAAGAATTCAGCACATATTGTAAGACTACGCAAGCGCCCCCACCCCCCCCCCCCCCCCCACCCCTTTTTTTCCCGGCTTTTGTTTCTTTCCCCTCTGTGTGCGAATGTGCGGGTGCGCGCGGGTCTAATTTATGTATATTGTCTAAAGACCCTCTCTATATTTTAAACATAGCTTCTGTGCATTTTCTACATATCTCCTGTATGTGTCCTAATATTATGTTAATGAGGTCAAGTTGCCTGTGTTAGTCCACAATGTTCGCGACAGGTTTATTTCACAGACCACGACTTGTGGGGGGGGGGGGCGGCGAGGAGCGGCGCCCTGGTTCTGATGCGCTGACCTCGACACTGCCAAATCGTGGATCAATCGATGGCTGTGTTTATCTTATCTGGTTATTGCATCTTCTTTCCCTCATTTTTCAACGTCTGTTGTGCACTTTAAACAGGCTATAGATGCTCCCCAAGTCGATTTTTTTTTTTTAAATTTCATACACTGTTGGCATACGCTTTATACATGCATGGACACACTTACACATACTCTCTCTCTCTCTCTCTCTCTCTCTCTCTCTCTCTCTCTCTCTCTCTCTCTCTCTCTCTCTCTCTCTCTATCGTATTCTCTTGTCCATCCAACCTACCCGGCCACTAAAATTACAACTTTTGGATACCAAACTTTAAAATCCTACAAATTACTGAACTGTGAAACTGGTGCATATTTCTGAACGAAATTCAGTGAAAACCGATCGATAAACCAACGAAAGAACGAACAAATCTGGAGCTACACAGTGAACGAAATTGGAACCGTTTCTCGACATTTCGCCTGGCACCACTCCCGAATCCAGATGGTTAACGAGAGCGGTTACCAGCGGACAAAGCAAGACACAGACGGAGCGACAAAGGCGACTAGCGGGTTGCTTTACTGAAATACTATTTTGGGTGAACTGTAAAAACCGAGCAAACGTGTAACCTATTTCTAGGAGAATTCTGGTCTTTTTTACCATAGTTAAAA